TAAGTAATTTAGAAAAAAGCTCAGCACTACATTGCACTGCATGCATGCATTAACACACAACCACACAATAGCATGGTGGGAGAGGGTTAAAATTCTAAAAAGTAATCTAGGTAGGTGGAGGTAGAGAGAGGTTGATTACTGAATCCAGCCTCGTTCATCGAATCTACACCCAACACATGCAATAGGAATGAATCATCACTCATACCCGAAATATGGAAAATAATACTACCAATGAAATCAAGTGAAAAACAATGGAACTATATAAATGAATTTAGGAAGTCGTGTGATTAACTTGATATGATTATGAGCAGTAATAAATTGTGCTCGAAACTTGATCATCAGTAAATATTACTGTATAACACTGTGAGACTCTATCAAAATAAAATTTACCCATAATGGAATTTCCATCTCTTTATTTGCTGTTTTTGATAAGTTCCCTATTTCACCCTGACTAGCGTTTTTGTGCAGGGCTATTACCAGCAGCTCTAAGATTTTCTTGAAGCTTGTGGATTCAAATTGTTGACCACGATCGGTAGTGGCAGTGGCGGGACATCCGAAACGGGCAACCCAGCCAGCCTTCCATGAACGCACGGCAGATGGTTTGAGCCGTTACATCTGGTATCGGAACAGCTTTCGGCCAACGTGTGAAACGATCCACACACATGTTAGCAAATACGAGCAGCCATTTGAAGGGGGGTAAGGGCCCCCCCACGATATCCAGGTGTATATGGTGGAAACGAGCATCTGGGGTTGCGAAAGTCCCCAACGGCATGATGTTATGCTTGGTTACTTTGTCGCGTTGGCATTCCACACAATCGCGTGTCCATTGGCGGCTGATACCAGGCCACACAAATCTGGCCGATATCAACTTGTCCGTTGCTCGTATCCCAGGATGGGAGAGGTTGTGTAGGCACTGAAACACGGTGCGGCGTAAAGACCTGGGGACCATTGGTCGAGGAGTGCCCGTTGACGTATCGCACAGTATAGTTGCTTCACTGTTCAGTAGGGGAACACGTTCTATCTTCGGTGAGGTTTGATTTGACAGGTTGCAGTTCAGCCATTTTATTAAGATCTATGGTTGGTGGCACGGACATAGCGCATATGCGAGACAAAGCGTCTGCTACCGGATTATCAGCTCCAGAAACGTGCTGGAATTTCGGAAGTAAACTGCGAAATTTAGTCTAAATGGCGCAATTCACGGGGTGAGTACCTGTCTGTAGTGGTGCGTAGTGAATACGTTAAGGGTTTATTTTGTGTCCTTTTGTATTTAATTTATTTAATTCATCGTCAATGTCGACAGATATTGATTAGGTGATTTATTCCATCTGCTCGCTTACTTATGAGAAATATTTCACAAAATGCTGCATAACCTCCAAGGTGAATGAAGTGAATAAATAAAACAGACAACAATTTTATGTGGATTCAGCCAGTAGTCGCATTAAAAAGCAGCATTCTTCATTCACACTGTGTGTATAAACAAAGTAACCAATGAAACAAGCTAAATGATTCGACAAATTTTCAAGGTCACCATGTTGTGAGCCAATCAAAAGTGCCCATTTCTGCGATTTCACTGATCAACCAACCAACCAGGAGTCGTTGTTGTGGCGGTCACTACAAATTCCTATACAGTATTCAAACAGTGATATCTACCACTGAATTCGTTGTGGCCTAACTTCATGGAGGTGTACTGTGGTGGTAACTTGATTTTGAGGAAACATAATTTCAAAACTAGTTCACATTTGGACAGAGACAGGACAAGAAGTGGTACAGAATAATATGGATCCATTTCGTTTCCATCGGTTCTCGTCAGCCGCACACAACCTACAACATTCCATAGAACAACTTTATCATATAGCTTCAACATAAATTCTGTTGATCATCATGAATCAGTCCTCCAGGAAGTACAGCATTGACCAGGATGTATCAGCCGCAAAACTAGTCTCTCTGCATTCCGAACATCCTGCTCGTCGGCACAGTCGAAAATCGACAAGCATCCGTCATAGGTTACCTACAACTTTGTATACCAATTTCATTTGAAAAACTGGGGTAGCATTTGCGTTGACACAACAGAAAGAAGGGGCAATGTCGAATTCTTTGAACATGCACCAAAGAGGAGCTTTAGATTAAGGGGGGGGATCGAATAGTTTGAACTTATAAATTAACAAACATCTGATAAACACGACACCAAAATGGACACATTGGGAGCATTGAAAATCGTTAGAAGACAGAACCACGAAAGTCGTCTTCAGTTCGATGAAGATATCGCAATAATTCGACTGAAATCTGATCCATGTGTTCAAAAGGTATCCGTCGTGGGACTGCAATTATCCTTGTAACTCTCCCCGGCCAAGTTAAACTTTAAGTACCACTAACTACTAATCAGCGAACGACGTCGAATGGTCCAGTGAGATTCACGAACGTGAGTTCAATGTTGCATAGCGCTTGATTCGTTTCAAATGCGTGCCCTAACGAAGTTACGGTTGCAATTCGAGGAGGATAATGTTTTCCAGTATTGCTTGGATTTAGGGTTGCTTAGGAAGGAGAGAATTTTATTCGGGTGGTGGTGTGATGAGTTTAAAAAGCTTTAGCAGGTCAACTGATGGATATGTCCATCGTTGTGCAATTTGTCTGAAGCGAGTTAGCATTAGAGAAGGTAAGCTGGTGATTTTAATATTTCGTAGGAACTTGTTTTGCAAGGTCGCAACTCTCCTTAACGCAGATTTTGTATATTTGCAACTACTGGGTCTTACTTAAAATAGCCGATGAGAGCCGCAGCTGCTGAAACCGAAAATAGCCTCGTCTCAATAGTTCAGTGGTATCAGCACTGCAGAGATATTGCTTCGTGGAAAACGGAGATAGTTACTTCTTTGATGGGTGGAGAAGACATCGTTGTGCACGTGAATGAAACTGTGTTGGTCGTCAGCTAGCCAACACTATTTGGGTAATTGGTTTATACGACACCTCCCTCCGAAAAGGATTCGTGGAAAGAATAGCAGATAGAAAGTCAACTACTCTAATACCTATTATTACCAGACTTGTGGAACGGGGATCAATAATACATACGGATGAATGCAAAGGTTACAACTCTCTGTCATCTCTTGGATATAGTCATCATAGAGTGAACCATTCCAGTGATTTTGTTGATCCTACTACGAGGACACATACAAATTCTATTGAAGGATTTTGGGATAGGTTGCAAAAAATAGGATTAGGGCGATAAATGGATCTCAAATGGATGTCATTTATAGTCATTTGGATGAATGTATAAATGTACAGAATATGGTGTAACTTTTCTATTGATAGTCCTACGCTTAACTGGGAGATGTTTCTCTCACATTTTAGAGAAAGATACCCTCTGTAAAAGTTTCATGCTTTTTTCTCCATAAATATACGTTTCCCTATTTCAAAAATGCCTCTTTCATATGATTGGTCCGTTGAAGGTCGTTTGCTGATTGGTTGTTCTAAGTTCTAATCACTACATTTCATCATCTCTGATTACGCAATTACCTACCTATCAACAAAACTGTCCACCTTTAGGAGAAACTTCGCTCTTATAAAACATGAATACAGATATGTAGTAGTAATAACATGAGATGACCTCATCATCCATATGTTTAGTCGACGTTCATGTTTTCGGAATGCGTTTTCGACCATACTTAATGTCTGTGTTGATTTTATTGATGAAGTCCCTTGGGTAGTTGTTTTGCTCGACAGTCGTCATTCCATATACAGCAGAGACGTCAGACGATATCATCAGAAGAGTACTAAATCAGCTCGACATTAGAATTTTCTTCAAAACAACAGACACGCACACTGCGAAACAAACTTGTTCATATAAAATACCAAATCCCTAAAGATTCTCTATTTATTTGTGTCTATAAAATAAAATGCTTGCTTGGAATTTGATGTGATGTACATCGGACAAACATTGCCAGGGAGAAATCGAAATCAGAAGAAATGAACACCGTAGAGCCGCATCTGTTCGACCACCAAGAAATAAATCCGGTTGAACTAGAAAAACGTGAAAAATCATCAGCCAGCCATAGGTCTACATGCTATAGAATCAGGCCACAAAATTGATTTTGACAATATTGAAATCATCATCCAGAAAAAGCATTTCAGAAATCACAAAGAACGTCTAATATCATCAGAAGCACTTCATATCAAGTGGAATCCAAATTGTCTGAAATGAATAGGAATGATGGACTAAAACAGAATCTGACCTGGTTACAACACCCCATGAAATGACAAAATCAACATGAATGTGATAAGCAAGTTCACCATGTAAACACGCTGATCAAATCCAACAATCTACACTTGGTTTTGTTATCTTTACCAATTGGCCAACTTGACAACGAAAAATGACCCCAGACTGACGAACGATGATCAAGTTAGTAAACTTTGTTTTGATACCAGCCAGAGCAGATGTACTATTACCTCTGTTATTTGGTTTAGTCATTCATCTTCATTGTTATTTTGACTTTCAATATGTCCTCCTTTTAACTTGACCTAAGTAGTCTATTTTCTCACTCACCGCTTAACTCTTTGTTATATATATGCTGAGTGGATTTTGTAAATTCTTCTGGTTTAATAATACTGCTCTGATAAAGCTATTAGCAGCAGCATTAAATAGCGAAACGTCAGTAAGAGCAACAATATCGCTGATTGTTTTTCATTCATTGGGGAAACACAAAAACCTTTATTATGATGGGCATTCGTTGGTATCCACGGGAGTGGAAACTTCGCTTTTCCTCCATTCAGTGCTGGTATCCATGGTGTTTTTTTTTCATTAATTAAATCAGAATTTACTCGAGTTCCTAGTTAATTTGTTCATTCGGTAACTATAATATAGAGAGGGTTGAACGGCAATTGTGATTGAGGCACTGAATGTGTTTAGAAGGCGGGGGGACGGGGACACCTTTCTGTAACCAAGACAAAAGAAGAAGAAGTTGTACAAGGGTCAAACATGACAAATGCTCAATGTATTTATTGATTTTTATGCCAATGGAATTATTGACTTCCGCATAATTTATCCTTTATGTTATTACTATTATTAGTATTATTAGTATTGTTATTGTTGGTACTGTCGGTATGTATCCCTTGTCATCACGCTTCTCCTTCTTTTTCGTCTTCCCTAAACTCTCCACTGATGATGGTAGTAGTATAACCAACGCTCAATCAGCAGACAGAGTAGACTTGCTACAGAGAATATTCCAGTGACGATAAATACACCAGCGACATTCCATAGAGTTAATGCTTGTGCTTGATGAAATTGTTGTGCAGCATTCATTGTTGAAACAGCATCATCGCTAGTGGTCATATTCCACTTGACCATAAATTTGTCTATGACACCACGTTCTCTTAATGTTAATATACTGAAAGAAGAAAAAGAAGAAAATAATCGATAAGATAAGAGAGTAGTTATTATACTTTTTTAAAAATATACTTCCCAATTACTAGTGAATATATACACCAAAGTTAACATCTCATTAGTGACAGTTGTTGATCATTCACTAGCGGCCTGCTTAAACCTTGGGCTACAAAAATTTTCCGTCACTTATATTGCATCTGATTACTTGGATTTATTTTGTTTTAATTATTGAATTGTATGTGTCCAAATCGTATTATTTACTCTCGCAATTATTTAAAATGTTTTCAACCTGATGATTTACGAGCATATATAGAATAACCTTAAGAAAAAGCATCATGGTGGGTGGCAAAGATCCTTAAAGAGTACTCAAATGCATCAGATGACTGTTCCTGTGATTATGAGCACTAATTGCAGGTCATTGTCAAACAAGATTAATTACTTATTATGTTCAAATATTTACCGTAATACAGGTGTAATAATAACGCTTCAAGAAACTTGACTCCACGATTCATATGATGATAATTTAATCTTACTAAATGGTTTCAGTATGTACAGACAAGACCGAAGTAGTTCAAGGAAGAAGCGAGGCGGCGGTGTTGCTACTTTCATTAATTCTCAGCGGTCTGTTGCCAACAACGTCTGTTTTAAATTCTCAAATGATAATATTGACTGTATAACTGTCAAATGTCGACCTAAACACCTATCTAAATACAAATTCATTTATATCACACCCTGTTGTAGCACCTCAGAATTATCTATGTTTGCTGATGAATTCACTATTTTCGCTGCTGCCTCTTTTGGTAACTCCTGTCCACAGTGACAGGTGATTTTAATTCATGTGACTGCAGCTTTCGCACAGTGCTAGGTCATGAAAATGTTGTTAACTTTCCCACCAAACTGGATTCTTCTCTCAATCTTGTATTTATAAATGACTGCGGAATATGCAAAGCTTGAGAAAGAGCCCCACTGTTTAACTCAGACCACTTTATTGTACGGGTTTTCCCTAAAATTTATGGAAAGTTACACAAGAGAACTTTTTCACACCTTTCCAAGAAAACTGTACATGGATGTTACTCTATGGAGAATGTTCAGAATCTTAGGAGCATGCTCAAAGACACAAGGTGGGACCTGTTTAATGAAGACTCTCTTGATTACACAATCTCTAATATTACATGTTATCACAAATTTTGTCTTGACACCTGTTGTCCCAGAGAAACGCTCTTCAACAGATTTGACCGTTTCTCCTCCCCTCAACTTAAAAATCTTCGCAGGCAAAAAGAAAAGTTATATAAAATGAAGGATAATATTGGTTTGAAAAGAATTAACATCCTAATAAAGTCTGAAATGCACAGGTTGAATTCAATTACAGTAGAAGTGAAATCAAATCCACACGGTATAGAAAACAAACTTCTTTATGCCTTTTTAAACGACTGGGCTACCTCTAACTAAATTCCCGTACATCCAGCATAATATCTACTTTTCTCAGTCTCTTATTGTCTTAATATTCCAATTATGTCATTGGATTGGAATATAATTTCATAATAATAATAATAATAATAATAATAATAATAGCTTTGATATAAGTATAAAACTTGGGCACTGTTGTAGAATAGGGTATAACTCCATTATGGATAAGATTTTATTCTGATAAAGTGTCACACAGTGTTATACAGTAATATTAACTGATACGACCACACGCTTCGAGCACAAACTATTGCCAGTCATAATCATATCAAGTTACTCACACAACTTTCGTCTTCCTTCATTTTTATACATGAGTGGAATTCATGATCAGACATTTGAATACAAATCAGTAATATGGGATAATGTACATTCAGAAATAATAATAATATGAGTGTTATTGATCAATTACAATCAGATGGGAAATAAGACGAGTGTTTCTCCTATAGTCATAATAAGCGAGTAACTTGTTAGAATGTTGTGATGGGCTTGAATTGAACAAGGAGAATTAGCTGTGATGTTAGATTGTAAAATAAAACGAATAGAAGAGGGTAAACTGCACACTCGTGTTTATAAAAAACCAACGCATTCTGCTAATAGATATTTAGACTTTAATTCATCTCATGCGTTAACTGTTAAGGCAGGCTTAGTTAAGTGTCTAACAAACCAAGCAGTAGCACAAGAAAAGAGCTAAATGATGAATTGACACAGATAGAAGAAGAAGCGTTGGTGTTGAATAACTAACTATCCTATAAAATTCATTAGGAAGATCAGTAAAGGCCAAAAGCAAAATAAAAATAATTGTGAAACTAGTAATGATAAAATGAATAAGAGATAATATAAGTGCGTCGGTGGCACAGTGGTTAGGACTCTCGCCGACCATGCACATGGTCTGAGGTTCGAGCCCCTGCCGGCGCACACCCTATATCTATGGTCGGCCTGAATTTGGGCTACCGATATCCATGCTGAAAATACCATACTTGTACTGAAAATACGGTGTGGCATCAAGCTGTAAACAAAATAAAAAATAAAATAATTATACCATATAAGGAGGGGACATCGGAGATACTCCCTACGTAGGATTCTTAATAAAGCAAGAATTAGGCTGGTGGCTGGTACTAACATATCAAACCAAGAATTCGGAGAAACGAAACTTCACTTGCGCCTGAAAAGAAACTCTACCTAAACTTGGATTTCAAGGGAGATTTAACAAGCGATATTCTCAAGAGAAGGATCACATCATCTCTGAGAACAACATTCTTTGCAGCAATGCTAAGAATAGTGTTCTTCAGTCGCCCACAGATCTGGAGAAGCCTCAAGGACAAGATCCCGTATCTGACCACTTCTATGTGCATATATATCAGTTCACCTGGCGCTGTGGAGCCAGCCAGGTACATTGGTAGTTCGACGCGCACCCTGTACAACAGGATTCAAGAACACTATCCAGCCAGCATGGTTGTGAAAAGGCAATAGTGGTGCAATAAGGAGTGCGATAATTGAACACCTGGTCAACGGTGATCATTCCATCTCAACAAACGCCTCCTGCTTCAGAGTAGTCTACAGATTCAAGAATAACCTACCAAATGCAATACGGTTTCGTCTTCTTTCTATCACTGAAGCTCTGGCCATTCACTTAGGGAAACCGGGGCTGTGCATACAAAAGAGGATTACTCAACCACTTCTACTGTCATGGTAACAACTTTCCTGATTTCTTTACCTGTTCTTTAATTGCTTATAATTCTTGTATTCACATAGAACTCCAACGTAATTTCGTATTCTCTACTTTGTTCCTATGTGCATCCTGAGTAAAACTCACTCATCAAACTATTCATATTATTACATAATCTCCTTTTTGACAACTGATTGTGACAACTCATCACCTTTGTTACTAGCCTAATTTCATTAACACCTAATTTTCTTGACTGATTTTGTATTACGTAACTCCAATTATCAATCTTCACCTGTTTTTAGTTGAAATAACCATAACCAATTGTCTATTTTTATTTGACAAATTTAATGTACACATACGTACAAAATAACCCATACATATATATTTGCGATTGTACAGCTAAGAAAATGAACTCGCCGCCTAAAAGAGACTCTTCGCTGATCTACGTGTTTCGTTTTGATTAAATACACGTATTACCATTACTATTATTATAATTATCATCGTTGTAACTGCAACGGTATTTAAAGCATTTAGCATTTATCATTGACCTACAAATCGGTTGAAATTCACAAAAATATGTTTAAAGGTATCTGTGTTCGAGTACAGTACAGTCTGAGGTAGATCTAACTAAAGATAGATAGCGCCTAGTTAGTAGTGAGTGATACACACACATGGTGCTGCTACTTTCATCATTCTGTTTCGGACTCCTGAACTGAATATACTTGCATCCCTGTTGTTGAGTGATATGGTGGTGTTTTCATTGCGAGAGAGACTCATACGCAGTACACACTTCGTTTCAAATACCAAAGCATTCATTGTCAATTGTTAATCTATAAGAGCCACCTACTCTGCACTGCAACAGAGTAAAAAGTCAGACGAAATATTCTTTTAGGAATCACTAGGAGATGGGAAGACCAGGATAGGTCAGAAGAAGGAATTAATCCAAGACACTTAACTTCAGACTTGGTTTCTATATCAGTATCATCAATTTTGCAAGGGTCATATGAACCAACAGTTTCATCACTTAACTTTCTTTTACATAGGAAACTGAAATTAACAGTCTGATATTTGGAAGGATTTAGACGAAGACCATTTGCTAATTCCTAATGGAAATCTGTTTATCTTAGTACAGTCAAGCTGGGAGTTAACACACATTGAAATAGTTAGATCATCTACATACTTAACAAAGTTCATTTCATTATCAGAGTGTGGCAAGTGATGCTAGAAGAAAGAAAAGAAAGAAGGAGAAAGGACAGCGCCTTGAGGGACACAAGCCTCAGTAAGAAATGAAGTGAACGACTTCCCCTGACAAATACAGTGTAATGCTTTCTTTCTGAGAAATAAGAATGCAGCCATTTGACAACTCAACAGTCAGTTTGAGTTTCAGCAAGCTTCTTTAACAAAGTGTCCCTAGGTACTGAGTCGAAAGCAGATGTGTTATCCAGGAAGGTGCAGTGAACAAATTTAGTCCTCTTGTCTAAGCTGGAGACAATGTTATATGTTTGGGTTAATTTGTGGTCCAGTGGTGGCTTGACTAGTGAATAATACTGACGTTTGCAGCTATAGTTGTTAGGGAGACTAGGAAGGGAGACTCACTCAGTGGAACATCATCACTCACTCACTCACTGAGTGAGAATAATATTCCACTGAAGATGCCCAATGTCTAGCTAGATAACTACGATCTGCTTAGCAAACACCACTACTGCTGCTTGATATGTCAGTCATGTGCTCACATACTACTCATTTTTGATTCAATCAGTAGTATGTAGTTTAACGAGAAAATTTTTGTCGTTCGTTCGTTCGTTCACATATCACGTTTTAATTTTAATTTACTCGCTCCCTATTCTCATTTTTATTATTGGAACAAGATATATAAGCGAACAATATTGTTTTCTATTAGATCTTCTTCAGGCTTTAATCTAATTTACATAGATTTGCTCACGAATGCAGCAAGACGTATCTGTGCAGATGACAGCTTGGAAAATGAGTTAGGATACATCCAAAATACGTTGGTCCAAATGGGTTATCCTAGTAGATCTGTAGGGAGACAAATGAACACCAGATACAATAAAGAGAAACTGACAACAGTTAAAAAGAAACAACTGTTCATGAAACTGAAATTTAATGGGGACGTGGCTAGTGAAGTCTTACATGTGAGATTATCGAGAGCGATAAAACGGACTTAAACTGCCACCACCCTTTGTTCGTCATTTTCCAGTTGCCGACCAATTATGATTGCTCAAATGAAAGACAAGCTACCTAGCTAGCTGCACTACTTCTATGTGTATTGATAAATTTAGTTGCTCCTGTGGAGAAAGCTGGCTATATAGGGCGAACAACTAGACAGCTTAATAAACGCACTGATGGGCATCTTCCTTCATGGTTCGGAAAAGGTCAAATAAAATCTATAAGAAGTTCTATTTTGGCTCATTTGATTGATGATAGCGGTCACCGAGTGGACAGTAGAAGTGCCTTCAAAGTTATCTATCGTATTCCATCGAGTCTTTCGAATGGAATCAGAACTCGTCTTTTACACATAGCCGAAGCTATGGGAATTCGAGAGAACAATCCTAGTCTTTGCATACAAAAGAAGTTTGTTCTACCTTTGGCTCTCCCTCGCTTAGTCTAGATGAATTCTATTCAAAACCCTTCCGCCCTTTCTTATTTTCCATCTCCTTCGTACTTTTATGATATTTATTTAAACTCTGATTATATCTGTCCACTTCACCTACCTTTAGTATTTCGTAACTTTTAAGATTTGACCTAATTTGTTTATTTATTGAATTGTCCACATATACACACTCATATTACTACCTTTGCTATTCTTATCGCCACATGCAGAAACCTTATTATCAATATTTTTCTTATCATTATAATCATCGTTATTAACTATATTCAAAACACTTACCACATTATTATTATTATTATCATCTATGATTGGTTTGTAAGGATTAGATTTGTTTTTACGAGTTGATCACGGATTGATATCATTAAGAGAACCATTGAAAACCAGCCAAGGGGTACTGGACAGCTGCTTCATCATATTTTGGGAATCATCAGCAGTACGCACCCACCACAGAGCGATCGAACCCAGGACCTTCCAGTTACAAGGAGAGCTAGCTGGCTCGTATAGCATTCAGCCACTGGGACCCGATTCAATGGCCAGCCAGCCCATGAATTCTAACTTCTACCAATTCGTGATGCATTTAGCGCGATTGGCACCAACCAGTGTCGTCGGTGGGACATCCATTCTCACACGTGACATCTGGATGAGCCTCACTGGTCACGACTTCTCACTAGATATCACTGCAGGAAACTCCACCCTGTAGCAAGTCACTAGCAAGCATCAGAAGGTCCTGGGTTCGAACCCCAGTGGGTGCGTACTGCTGATGATTCCCGAGCTAGGATGAAACAGCTGCCCAGTACTCCCTGGTTTTCAATGGCTCTCTAACTAATAATGTTATTATCATTATTTTTTGATACATAAAATCACCATCATTGGTTAATAATTTTTATGTATAAATCAATGTAAATTAGAGTAAAGCCTTAAGAAGATCTAATTGAAAAAACAACAATACTGTTCGCTTATATGTCTTGTTCGCCCTATTCTATCACATTGTCAGTTCAGTTGTGCTGTAAAAGTGTCATAGGTGACTGTTGTATTCCCTCTCCCCACCCCACGTCTCCCTCTCTCTTCACTGAATTCCCACACACACACACACACATTTACAATTTGTGTACTGCATAACAGACACACTGGGCAAAGGAATTATATTCATTCATAGAATAAAGATAAAACAACAACAGAAAAACACTCACAAATTTCTTCTCTCTCTCTCTTTCTATGAAACTTACTATGAAGACATCGGCTGGGTGAATTCCTGACCGAATTGAGCAGCAAATCCGAGGGATGCAACAACACTGGGCTCTTCTATCACTGCAAGACGGCTATAAGCCTCTTCAGCTGCTTTTTTCTTCTTGTATTACACCCAAGAGTAGAAATCTCTCAGTGATGTAGGCATAATTATCATACTGTTTGACAAGTTGAACTGCTTCACTTGTACTGCTTATACTGATGGGATTTGCAGATAACTTTTTATATATTGACTCATAGACTGTGTGATTCGCTGAATTCTATAATAATAATAATAATAATAATAATAATAATAATAATAATAAATAATAATAATAATAGTAGTAGTAGTGTAACGACAGAAGGCAAGAGTAGGGCAACAGATCATTTATTAAGGAAATCAACGCATATTTATATATGTTTTCATGTACATTACTATGGATATGTAAACAAACAAACACAGTCTTCCGATTGGTTGTTTCTCGCGACAAATCTTGGGAACGTAAATATTGACGTAAATTACTGTCTACCAATTTGGCTAGTAGACAGCTCTCACCACACTCGTCCCCCCGTCAAATGGCTTCGCGCGCAGGCGTTCCGACCTTCTGGTTGATGCATCCTCTCGTTGATGATTGTTACAGACCGGCTTGTCCCAGTGCACCCATCGTTGGATCTGACTGGCGTTAACTCGTTTTTGTTTGTCACCTCTTCTGATGGTATGTACTTGACCCCGTCTTTTTGTGACTGTGTATGGTCCTTCCCACTTTGGAAACTGTTTGCCTGACCCTGTCACACATTCGTAGGTATTTCGGCTCACACTTTCATATGCTGCTTTCTCCCGACCTCCCAGCAGCGTCCAAAGTAGCAGCCTCATAGCTGACAGATCTTGAAAGCCACTCAACTGCGAGGAAACCTCGAAGTCCTACCCGAAGATCCATATGTGTCCATCAGAAACTGCAGGGCATAGGCTTTCCATTTGTCGGTAGGCAGCGACACCAATTGTAACGACAGAAGGCAAGAGTCAGGCAACAGATCGTTTATTAAGGAAATCAAAGCATATTTATATATGTTTTCATGTACATTACTATGGATACGTAAACAAACAAACACAGTCTTCCGATTGGTTGTTTCTCACGACAAATCTTGGGAACGTAAATATTGACGTAAATGACTGTCTACCAATTTGGCTAGTAGACAGCTCTCACCACAGTAGTAGTAGTAGCAGTAGTAGAAATTGAAGCAGGACGGTTTCCATCGGGGAGAGTTTGCAGTCACACACCGAGGGAGAGAAACAACAGCAACAACAAAAATTGGTGAGTGAAAATGATATAATAACAATAATAATAATAATTGAGAAGAATAAGAAGTTCAGCAAAGATGGCGATCTTTTCGGCGATTTCATTTTCAAAAGAAGCTGTACAATCGCATTTAAATACATAATTTTACATGGAGACAATTCTTGTTTGATTCTACATAATTATGATGGCGAATAAAAGGTGATAATTATTTCCAACTAGATATGGTTTTACGAGAGGTTTAGAAACAAAATTACGCAGAATTAGGACGGATATCAAGTGTGTAAAAATGAGCATGGATACAAAATTGAAATAATAATAGTTTTCAACTTGAGATGGGAGTTAGGAGGTGTGAATATAGATTACAAGAGCCTTAGAAACACAAAAAGTTGCACAGGATTAAGATATAACTGCAAATTTTTTTTTTTAAACGAATTATAAATGTGAACAGGAAAAGCATGGAAACAAACTTAAAATAACTGTTTCTTATAAATGGAAAAAAAGGGGTGAATCGAATGAAGACTGAGGGAGTAAGAATCACACACATAGCGATCGAAAAGGGATCAAAAAACAAAAACGGAAGCTACGGTAACATACCAAACTTTTTATTCGCCGTCATAATTATGTAGAATCAAACAAGAATTGTATCCATGTAAGTAAAATTATGTATTGAAATGCGATTGTACAGCTACTTTTGAAAATGAAATCGCCGAAAAGATCGACATCTTTGCTGAACTTCTTATTCTTCTCAATCTAATGTTCCAATGGGTATTTTCCACGATTTGAAATAATAATAATAATTTGCTTTATTCCAAAAACAGTACTAATGATACAGCAAGGAATTATCAGCATTCATTACAATATTGCATCTAATTTACTCAAAAACGACACAAAAGAAAACAAAATAAAAAATAAACATTACATAATAATAATAAGAAAACGTTGTTATAGCAGCTATTTAGCAAATTACTGTATGCAATACGGAGAAAAATGTGCATACAGTATAATATTGTAGTAATAACAACTAAACATAAAATAGCAAAATTATAATTAAACGATAGAAAGGGTAATACCATAAAATTACAGAAAGATGAACGAACGATGAAAGGGTCGATTCACTTTGCTAATTACATAGTAACTTCTTATATGTTTCACGTCTAACAGAGTCTTGTAGAATTTTTGTACTTAGTGGTTCGGGCATATAACTTCTTCTTATATTGACTTCTTGTCCTACCTGATGAGATACAAGGGGATGCATCCTAGAGACAGAACAAATATACGTCCTCTCAGCTGCAGGATGGTTGGTTGGTTTCCTTCTGCAAAACATCTTCATGGCTGGCTGATATCAGCCAGTGTGAGTTCACAGTTTATGGAATTGTCTATGCATGAAATGTGTGTGTGCAAAATGAAGAAGCACATTAATCCATCCTGTTTGTTTACAGCTGGTCTGCTATATTAGGACGTGGTTATCAGGACACAGTCAATCAAGCCACATTTTCTCATGTCATATTATTCTCTTCTTATTCTGGACGTGCAACTAGCAAGACGCGAACAAGATGGGACACTCAAAGGATCCATTCACAGAAAACCGACATGGAATGGACAACTCATCAGCTTTCACAGTTGGGTGCCTCTATATACAAAACGAAATCTAATCCGCTCACTGACTCACAGAATCCACAACATTTGCAGTCCGGAAACTATAGAAGAGGAGCTGAAGACCCTGAAAAGAATCCTCCTTGAAAACGGTTACCCGGAACGTTTCATCACAAAAGCCATGAAGCCCAAAACACAAAAACCGTCCACGCTTACTGCTCCCAAGAAACTTCTCTATTTGAATCTACAATTCAACGGAGATTCTTCAGCAGAAATACTGAGAAACCGCCTGTGTCGTTCACTGAAAAAAAACTTCTTCACAGCTGAACTCAGACTAACTTTCTCTAGGAAACCAATGATTCGCACGAACGTGAAGGATAAGCTTCCACTGGGGGCCTCATCAATGTGCATCTACCAATTCACCTGCTGATGTGGAGCTGGATATGTCGGCCGTATCCAAACGAATCAGCGAACACCTACCTTTATGGTTTTATACAGGAGAAAGAAGATCCCCCTGCCACAGCTCTATCCTAGAACACTTGATCGAATCCGGACACCAAGCAAACCCACAAAGCAACTTCTCAGTTATCTACACAATACGTGGGAATCTTGCCAAAAGAGTACGAATTAAACTTCTTCAAACTGCAGAAGCAATGGCAATCCACATATTGAATCCTGAACTCTGCATACAAAAGAAGTTTGTTCAGTCACTAAATCTACAATGGTCCTGATCTATCTCAACACCAAATACGTAATTTTGTCTTACCTCTTTCTTCTTTGTTTGTCTGTTTCTTAATTGCATTATTTTCTACCCCCACCCTCTATTAAATCTCCACACTCATGACGACTGTTGCTGACTCCATTTTCGTTTATTTTTAAGTGAATTCTACTCAGATTATTAACTTGACTCTCATTCATTTTTCATTGAACCCTAGCAATTAGATTACGTCACCCAACCTACTTTTGTAACTTTATTTTAGTTTCTAACCGATTGACGCCTTCTAAATTACGTAATTTGTTGTCAAAAATTAACAATTGCATTAACACATCTTTGGAAATATTCCTTTTGTTGCCAAGAGAAAAAAGTACTATAAATCTGCGGTTTGTACAGCTTGAGAATGATATCGCCGAAAAGAGTAACTCTTTGCTGAACGCCTTTTCTTTTCTATGACTGAATAGGAATTTTCAAATTAATCTTCTTATTCCTTTTCACTAAGCCCACTTCACGCCATCATCATAATCACAGTTGGGTACCCCTATACACCAAACGAAACGTGATCCGTTCACTCAGCTACAGACTTCGCAGAATTTGCACCCCGGACACCATAGAAGATGAACTGGACAATCTCAAGAGAATCCTCGTTGAGAATTGTTATCCAGAACGATTTGTTGCAAAATCTATGAATCCTAGACCACATGCTTAGCGTCCCGAGAAAACTACTCTACATGAACCTTCAATTCAACGGAGATATATCTGCGGAAACACTAAGAAATTAACTGTCGTGCTCACTTAAGATTTTCTTCGCAGCTGAACTACGACTAACCTTCTGCACAAAACCTAGGATTCATGTGAACGTGAAGGATAAGCTAACACTACTGGCCTCATCAGTGTGTATTTATCAATTCACCTGCTCGTGTGGAGCCAGATATGTCGGCCGTACCCAACGTTCGCTTTCCTAACGTATCATCGAACACTTACCAACATGGTTTTACAAAGGAGAAAAACGATGCCCCCATGCAGCTCCATCTTAGAACATCTGATAGAATACGGACACCAAGCTACAACCCAAACAAACTTCAAATTCGTCTACAAAATACGAAGTAGTCTTCCTAAAGGTGTACGAATCAGACTTCTTCAAACTGCAGAAGCAATGGCGATTCACTTGCTAAGTCCTGAAGTTCGTTCAGTCACTACACTTGCAATGGACGGAATCTATCTTATTACCTGGAAGGTGAATTCTATCTAATCCTTTTCTCTTCTGTCTCTTCATTAGTATTATTTTGTCTTTACAATTGTAATATTTTACATTTTCAACTTTCTTGTTCTCTACCCCCCACCCAATTTAATTTCTATACCTCATTACCACTGTTACTGATTTGACCAAAGCTCAATTTCTAGTCATTTATGTTAAGGTCATTCAACTTATTTGCTCAATTTCAGTTCTAATGTAAATGGCATTATTCTCTACCTCACCTCTACATAGTCTCTCTTTACCTGTAATTACCTCTGTTGCTACTCTGACCTAAGTTGAAACATTTTAGTCAATTCTATTACGTCGTCATATAACTTACTAACTAACTCAATCTAACTTCATTTGCTGTCTATTTAACCTTGTTTTTATATTAGATCATTCTTGTATTACCTGATTAATTATCTAAACTTGACAAACCTCATGTACACACAAATAATTGTATATAAATGCGATTATACAGCTAGCTATGTGAATGAATTCGCCAGCGAAAAGAGTCTCTTCGCTGAACGTTTTCTCTTTTTCATAATTATTATTATTCGTTGCTTTTTGTGATTTGCACTCAGCTTGTTTTATCTAGTCTGCTATTCCATTGCAGATTGCAACAATGACCCCAATCTACTGTTGAAGACATTTAACTGTTGCCATCCAGTAATAAAATTCACTCTTGAGATGGAAAACGAATCAAAAATTCCGTTTCTTAATGTGGAACTAACAAGAAGAACTGATGGGAGCCTTAGAAGATCGATCTATAGAAAAGCTACTTGGAATGGTCAACTAACAAGCTTCTATCACTGGGTACCCATTCAAGGAAAGCAGAATTTAATTAAATCACTTGCCATCCGCATCCAACGCATCTGTAGTTCTGATGTTCTAGAAACAGAATTAGATATTCTGAGAGAAATCTCCGTCCAAAATGGATAACTTTTAAGATTCATTGACAAAAATATCATACCAAGAATTTGGAGAAATGAAACTTCACTTGCACCTAAAAAGAAACTCTACATGAACTTGGATTTCAAGGTAGATTTAACAAGCGATATTCTCAAGAGAAGGATCACATCATCTCTGACAAGAATATTCTTGAAAGTAACGCTAAGAATAGCGTTCTTCAGTCGCCCAGTGATCTGCAGAAGCCTCAAGGACAAGATCTCGCATCTGACCACTTCTGTGTGCATATATCAGTTCACCTGCTGCTGTGGAGCCAGCCAGGTACATTGGTCGTTCGACGCCCACCCTGTCCAACAGGATTCAAGAGCACTATCCACTATTCTTTGTATCGCTGAAGCTCTGGTTATTCACATAGAAAAGCCAGAGCTGTGCATACAAAAGAGGATTACTCAACCACTTCTATGTACTGTCATGGTAACAACTTTGTTGATTTTGATGACTTGGTTTTGTTTGTTTGCCTGTTCTTTAATTGCTTGTAATTCTTGTATTCATTTAGAACTCTTATGTAATTTCGTATTATCTACTTTGTTCCTATGTGTATCCTGAGTAAAACTCACTCATCAAACTATTCGTATTATCACATAACTTCTTTTAACAATCGTTTGTGTCAACTCATCACCTTTGTTGCTACCCTAATTTCATTGGCACCTAATTTTCTTGACTGATTTTGTATTGCGTGACTCCAATTACTAATCTTCACCTGTTTAGTTAAAATAACTATAACCAATTGTAATTTTGTTTGACAAACTTGATGTACACATACATACAAAATAACCCATATATATATATATTTGCGACTGTACAGCTAATAAAATGAATTCGCCGTCGAACAGAGACTCTTCGCTGAACTACGTGTTTTGTTTTCATATCAGAGTTCCGTTGACTTTATTTTTATCTTTCCTCAATCTTTGTGTGTAGTGTGATGAAGTGTGGTGTGACTTGGACTTCTGACTTTCTGCATAAACTTCTCCGGAAACATGATCATCTCTTTTTTGCAAACTCCACCAGAACTAAGTTTTCACTGATGAACACAAATTGCATAACTAGCAATCATCGGAATTTTTATGCTGCAGTCTTGTTTAAACAGTAAGTCATTTGGGTGATTTTTGTTCAAAACACTCTGAGAAAGATTCGCTCGATAATTGCACAACATAAATAGCACATAACCCTCTTGTGACAAATCTGCTTACCTGAAACATATTATACGTGCTAGTACCTTTCATGGCGAGTACTGTCATTTTGTCGTTGTAAGCCAAGTCTTTCAACGATGCGATTGGCAATTCCAGTTTATTTTTCGTGAGAAATGCTGTTAAATCAGCCTGCCAGATTGCGTGTACGACTAGAATCATCAACCAGTACAATAAGCATAGAGCACGTGATGAACAGTTGACCAGTTGACCACCTTCTTGCCCTAGACAATTACACACAAACACAAAAATGACGTTATTTTCACTTTTGAGCACACACTGAAATTATTTAGAGAAATATTGGAAACAAGAGAGTACTGGACGGCTGTTTCGGGCAAAAGTAAAGAACAGACACCAACTTCAGACGACCTGGAAACAGCCAGTCAGATTCTTCTACGTGAGAAGTGGTACTTAATTTACAAAGCAGTATATCTACGACAAATATATATATTAAAAATGAATCATATACGGTATATATCCCTATTATAATAATTATTATTATTGTTTCCTTTAATTCCTAGACGAACATAGGGCTTCAGCCGTGCGTCTCCATTGCGTTCGGTTCTCTGCTAGAATCTTCACCTGGCTCCAAGTCTGCCCACACGTTTTCATCTCCTCCTCTTCACATGACCTCCTCCAAATCACCCTCACCCTTGCACTGACGACCAACTCGCCGCTTCCCTTTCGGTTTCCACTGGAGCTATGGCTTGTCTAGTGATGTCACTTGATGGTTTCCTCAGAGTATGGCCAATCCACCTCCATTTCTTCCTGCCTATTTGTTGCATAATCGGTCCCTGTTTTGTTGGTTCGCTCATTGCCAGAGATCCCTGTTGCTGATCTTTTCTGGCCAGCCATCTGATATTGAGTGGCATTGAACGAAGACAGCTGTTAATGAAGGTGTGTAGTTTGTTTGAGGTGCTCTTTATGACGCGCAGTGCAAGTCTCCGATACGTATAGCAGCACTGACTGACTTCACATTGGAGTTGAAAATCCGGATCTCACTTTTCATGCTGAGTGCTGTTGACCTCCATTCAAACTTGAGAGTAGTGAAAACTTGTCTTGCTTTTCTGATTCTTGCTTTGATATCCTCGTCAGTTCCACCCACCTGTAGTTGAGACGATGCTTCCCAGGTAAGTAGGTAGGTAGGTGAAGGAGGTTGTTTCTGTCAGGTTACTCCCATTTATTTTGGCTGATTGTTGTCTGTTGTTATTGCTGTTGCTGTTGGTGTTGGCTAGGAATCTTCATCACCTCTGTTTTCTCTATTTTCACCTGAAGTCCTATCTTCTCTGGATGCTTCTTCTTCCAACTTGTTGCTTTTCACTTGCATATCTTCCAGTTTGTGGGAAATCAGACATATATCATCGGCGAAGTCCAGATCCTCCAAGTTCTTTTTTCGTGTGAGTCCATTTTATGCCTGTTTCCTCACTGCCCTGCCCGTTGTCTGTCGCATTACCCAGTCTACCGCAATCAGGAAAGTCATTGGCGATAGTAAGCAGCCTTGTCTTACTCCTATCTTTACTTCGAAGGATTCCGTGAGTTTCCCGTTGTGGATTACTTGACATACACCATTGTGGTACAGCTGTTGGATGAGATGTATAATTGTCGGTGGCACACAGTAGTAGCGAAGTAGTTTCCAAATCACCTCTCGATCGATTGCAGCATATATCCCTAATATGCTGCAAAACCTGGTCCCAGATTGTCATAGAAGTGGTTATAGACGTATCAAACCAATGTATTCTCTATTTCTCCAGCTGTAGCAGATACCGGTTGCATATACGCAATATATTAATTACTAAGGGAGAGCTTTGATTTCGAGAAGAAAGTGCCTAAAAGAATCACTAGTTAAGTACGACTTACCAACTTATAGAGACTTCCTCATACAAAGTGGTTGCATCTGAATGTATAACCATCAGTAAATAGCCCGGCAATAGTTCTGCGGAGTCATTATCCCTCCACTAGACATGCATGTTTTATTCCTCCCTATCAACACGTTTTCCACAGAAAAGTCAAAAACCAAATCTAGGCGACATTTCCTACGGGGATTATGACTAGCATCCATTTGTAAATGGTGAGCTATCTGATTGGTCAAATCAGGGTCATTTGATTTTGGTGCCTATTTTTTACTCTTGCCCTGTTTCGTACTAGTTCGGGACTCATTGGAAGTACCGATCCACTGGGATTCGAACCCAGGAGATTCCAGTTACAAGGAGAGCTTATGGACCATTTGATATGTAGTCATGATGTCTGCCTTTGTGTTTTGCCAGTCTGATATATTTTGCTATATGTCTGTCTGTCTATCTATTGATCGTTATTCCATTATAACTCACAATATATCGATCTTGTCTGTCCATTAACTAAATAAACAATGTATGACCTTGGTCACGTGACATTACAACCAATCAGAATCCAGCGGTGGGAAGAGAAACTACAATCTATCATCCTATTGGTTCATGTGTGTTAGTTTAGTTATTTTCTATATACTCTTGAATTGTACAGTTAATTGACACACTTTCGTACTCTTTCGTACTTTTCCACTCACACTTTTGTGTGACGGTTAATTTTTTCCTTGTTGGAAAATACGCGTATCCATTCATGAACGTGGTGGTGGTCTTCTGATTTTCCTCTTCCGTGTCAGGACAAATTAGTTACTAAGCAATACCAGTCTGTACACATTATCGTCCGTTTTATCTCATTAGTGCATAATATTGGCGACGACTCCATCATAACACCACCATTCAACCACTGGGACGCAACTCAATGGCCCGTGAACTCCAACTTCTTTCTATCAATTCGTGATTTTAGTGTGACCACATGCTAATATCTTCGGTGAGTATTCGTCCCCACTACCGCGAGAGAGAGTTCATGTGATAAACTGTTTATAGAGTGAGAAATTGAGACTAAAATAACCTGACTGGTAACCACAACAACCAAATAAACCAAAAATGTTCACTTCGCTTAACTGCACATTTTTAACTGATGAACATAAAACTTACCAATCAAGTTATCGTAATGTTACAGGATTTCATCATGAGGTGACATTAGTTAGAGAACCATTGGAAAACCTGCCACAGGGAGTACTGAACAGCTGTTTCCTCCGTCCTAGTTTGGGACTCTTCAGCGGTATGCACCCACCGCGGTTCGAACCCAGGACCTTCTGGTTACAAGGCGAGCTCATAGACCATTAAGCCATTGAGAGCCGATCCAATGACCAGCCAGTGCATGAATTCTGACTTCTGCCGATTCACGATATAGCGCAACCACCAGCCAATATCTTCGGCGAGTACTTGTCCTCACAGCCGAGCTGCTGTACCCTACTGGTCACGACTTCTCACTAGAACCCCAGGTAACTACCTTCCTGAATAGGACAAACACTCGCCGAAGATATTGGCTGGTGGTTGCGCTATATTGTGAATCGGCAGAAGTTAGAATTCATGAACTGGCCATTGGATCAGCTCTCAATGGCTTAATGGTATGCGAGCTCGCCTTTTAACCAGAAGGTCCTGGGTTCGAACACCGGTGGTTGCGTACTGCTGAAGAATCCCAAACTAGGAGGAAATGGCTGTCCAGTACTCCCAGTGGGTTTTCCAATGGTTCTCTAACTAATGTCACTTCATGATGAAATCCTGTAACCAATCAGTGAAATCCCTACAAACCAACACTTGAATATCGTAATTTTGATTGATCAGATTGAATTTGATTTCATCTCGTAGGAGGAGATGTAGCGATCGAGACTGGGTGGTTGATTACACTTTACGAGGCTGTTTTTTTACAGATATTTAAAAACTACTTGATGAATTTGTCTAAGCACAGGTTTAAGCCAAACTTCTTAAAAAAATGAACCCCCCCCATTCTATCTCTTCAAACTGAACATCTTCATAACCAACCTATCACAAGAACAATCTTGCTACCACATCTACTATATTTAAGTTACAAGGCAAAATATATAGACAAACAGAAGGTGTAGCAATGGGATGGATCACCAATATCCCCTATCGTAGCAGATATATTTATGGATAGCTGGGATAACATTGCTCTCAATACAACATTTAATCCTACTCCAAAAATATGGTGAGGATATGTGGATGACACTTTCACACACAGTGTTGAAAACAGAATATATCTCTCTCTAGCTTCTTCACACATATAAACTCACTAGGAGAGGGAATAAAACTCACATTTGCGTCAGAAAATGAACAAAAAGAATAAGCTGTGATGTTAGATTGTACAATAAAACGAATAGAAGAAGGCAAACTACACACTAGTGTTTATTGAAAACCAACGCATTCTAATAGATATTTAGACTTTAATTCATCTCATCCGTTAACTGTTAAGGCAGGCTTAGTTAAGTGTTTAACAAACCGAGCAGTAGCACAAGAAAAGACCTAAATGATGAAATAAAACAGATAGAAGAGGCGTTGGTGTCAAATAACTAACTATCCTATAAAATTCATTAGGAAGATCGAAAAAGGCCAAAAGAAAAATAGAAACAATTGTGAAACTAGTAATGATAACATAAATGAGGGAGAATATAAGTCATCTACTGTTATACCATATAAGGAGGGGACACCTGAGACATTCCCTGTGTAGGATTCTTAATAAAGCAGGAATTAGGCTGGTGGTGGCATTTAAACCTATAAACTCACTCAGGTAGGACAAGCTCTGTAGGCTAAATGACCCTGTAGGTTGACCCAATTAAACAAAATAATATAATTGTATGGAGCATTTCATCATGAGCTGACATCAGTAAGAGAACCACTGGAAAACCTGGGAGTACTGGACAGCTGTTTCGTCCTAATTTGGGACTCTTCATCAGTACGCGCCCTCCGGAATTCGAACCCGGGACCTTCTGGTTACAAGGCGAGCTCGTATACCATTAAGCCACTGGGACCCGATCCAATGGTCCTTGAATTCTAACTTCTGCAAATAATATAATTTACAAAATACCTTGCAATGACTGTGAGTTAGGTCAACTACCTACATAGGTCAAACTAGTGGATCTGGGCTATTCAGTTTGTCGCAACATAAGAATTTAGCTAAGGTAAGAATATTTGACCCCTAGAAGATGAGTAATTTAGAAAAGTGCTCAGCAATTGCAATGCATGCATTAACACACAACCACACAAAAGTATGGTTGGAGAGGGCAAATTCTAAAATGTAATCTATGTAGGTGGAGATAGAGAGAGATTGATTACTGAATCCTTGTTCATCGAATCTACACCCAACACATGCAATAGGAATGAACCATCACTCATACCTGAAATATGGAAAATATTACTACCAATCAAATCAAGTGAATATCAAGTGAAAAACAATGGAACTATATAAATGAATTTAGGAAGTCGTGTAATTACCTTGATATGATTATGAGCAATAAATTGTGCTCGAAACTTGGTCATCAGTAAACATTACTGTATAACATTGTGAGACTTTATCAAAACAAAATTTACCCATAATGGAATTACCATAGAGTAAGTTGATTCAATAAGAGGCACACAGTGATAACACTGTATTATTCACTGATGATCACGCCTCGAGCGCAGTTGATTCCTGCTCATATTCATTCCTATCAAGTCAAGGCACTAACACATATAACTTCTTGAAAGCTTCCTCTACACAATTCTGCTATCTCTTATCTTCTGTTCTGATTAGAAGCAATACATTTCATATCTCTGGTTTTCGCGTTGTGTCATTCCCCTATAGCACGTGTCTGTGTGTAGATTCGATGAATAAAGACTCGGTATAATCAACCTTTCCTTCCACCTATCTATCTATATTACTTTTCAGAACTGTAGTTCTGTCCCCCCTTACCCTATTCTGTGATTTTGTTTTAATGTATGCACGGCGACTTCTCATGTGACTTGTCAATATGCATAGTTGCTAACATTAATTATTGCACCAGAGGAGGGTAGTTTTTTTGAATTTTATTCCTTCACGTTCCAAGTAGAACACACGGCTGCAAGGTGGAGCTTTGCAGTTTCAGCAACAGTGTGGTATTTACTTTAACGATGTGGGGTTGCTAGCCAGCCTCATACTCAACCTTACCTCTTTACCGGTCCTACCGCCAGGGGTTAGTATAGTAGGCGAAAGCGTTGTCCGCGGATCGAACTGTGGATTATATTCGTGGTGGGCAAGGATTCTACCGCGGAACCACAGTCTCTGGAGGGTGACGGTGTTACTTAATGAGACGAATTACTTAATCCATGGGTTGTAATCAGTATGTAAATAGAAACAAATGAGAAGTTGTGAGAATTCGACAGCATGAAAACAAAGTCAGAGGCTAAAACAAATTGGTTGAAAATAACAAGGTCATTCATTACCAGGATGATAAAAGTGATTGAAGAATTCTCCTTTGTACGAAAATAGCTCCAGACTCTTCATTTTGATAGCTAGAGCTTCACTGCTTCAATGCAGTTCTCTCACTTTATGGATCACTTTGAGGCTGGGTTTTGCTTGAGACTGACTGAATACAGTCAGTTTCGATGAATGAGGTGTTGTTCAACTGCTGCAGTCTGTACGGTGTCCAACTGCTACTTTTCTGCAATTATGTGAATTAGGCTTCTTCAACTCTTTTAGACAAGATACATGTCAACTATGTCAACCTATACACCTAGAGCTCCACAGCAGCAGGGCATAGAATTGGTCACGTGAGAGATATTGTCTGTAAGACTCGTCAAACCGTAAGGAATTGACGTCAAACACAAACCAATAAAATCACTTCACTCAGCTGGCTCTATGTCAGCCAAACGACTCAACAGCGAAAGAAGATAAAACCAATATCATCTACAAAATAAATTGTAACAACTGCGAAAAACACTACATTGGCCAAAGTGGACGTCCCTGCTCTTCGTCTTCGTATCCACAAACATAAGCTAGCCGTCAAAAGACGTGATATCCACTCCCTCGCTCATATCACTACATAGAGACAACCACGGACATCAGTTCGATTGGGACAACCAACGTTCAAATATTAGACAGAGGAAACAACACCAATAATGCTAGAGAATTTTTAGAAGCCTGTCTGGTATTCCAATGAATCATCAATCAATAGACACATCGAGATAGACAAAATTTATCAACCGATAAGAAGGAAACCTCCTAAACAAAGGGTCAAAGTTCAAGTCGAAGAAACAATCAGTTCCAATATCGATACAAGTAGCCGCCTAGAAGGTGTGAAAACACACGAAAACAACCAAAGAGTCACGTCTAAGGTGGTCCCCGACCAGGAGAGATGATTAATAAACTCGTGGAGAAATCGAAAAGCTCACTTCAATTGAAATTGAAATATGCGCTGAAGATGTCGCCTAGTAAGGCGATGAAGGCTTCGCAAATTAACTATCCAGTTAGCTCAGAAAACACAACCACATTAAAATCGAGATATTGTCTTTCAGGCACTGGCAAACCATTTGGTGACCCTTAACTGTATTTCGCCTGACAAAACAAAATTCTTGAAAGAAAGACAAAAGCAAAGACAGCTAAGCCACCGTCAAGGTGTTTCAGGTCGGTAAAAATAGAACAAGAAGAAGAACCTTATTGATTTAGTTGGCAGTAGCAGCAGGTGTATTTCACTAATAAATAGGAAGCACAATGTAAATTAAAAATGTTGCATATATACCTGATGTGGAGAGCGTATGTGTCATCATTTAATGACACATAAAAAAATGCCTCCTGATGATATTCACAAATGCAATCAATGGTCACAATATAGTTGACCAGTGTGTGTTAGTGTTGTTTAAAATGTGTGTTGTCAACCTGCGCGCGCCGCACAAAACTGTGTGTGTCCCTCAAGGCGCTGTCATTTCTCTTTTTCTGTTTTCTTTCTTCTAGCATGACTTGCCATAATCTGATAACGAAATGAACTTTGTTGAGCATGCTGATGATCTAAATATTTCAACATCTGTCAACTCTCAGCTTGACTGCACTAAGATAAACAACTTTCTATCAGAAATTAGCAAATGGTTTTCGTCTAACGGCCTTCAACTGAATCCTTCCAAATGTCAGAGTGTCAATTTCAGTTTCCGATGTAAAAGGAAGTTAAATGAAGCTGTTGCTTCTTACGCCCCTTGCAAAATTGATGATACTCATATAGAAACCAAGTTTGAAGTTAAGTATCTTGGATTAATTCTCTCTCTGCTGATCTTTCCTGGTCTTCCCATGTTTTAGCGATTTCTAAAAGAATATTTCGTCTGACTTCTTACAATAAGAAGTTTAGGCACTCAGGCATAACCCAACCCCTCCTGCTCTTACAGTTTGTCAACTCGTGCATCTTACCTATTCTTCTTTACTCTTCACCCCTGCTTATTGTTTCCTGGATTGCTTAAAAAACTATGTCATACTTCGTAGAACTCTGAAGACTGTCAGTCAGTAGGGCGAGTGGTATCCCATTAGGCCACATCGTTGACATTGTCATTGATAGGCACTTGATTTCATGCAACAAATTCGCTAAAGGAATTTTGTCAGACTGTGAGCATCCAACACAACACCTTTGCAGCTCCAACCTTGTGTCTCCTCTTCATGAAAAACAAGAAGTCTCTTCAGAAGACTTCATGTACATACGTCGGAGTATAAAATTTCCACTATACCATATTTTACTGCACGTACTTTATGTAATGAAAATAGTGTTAGGCACGAACTAATTAACCTTCTTTGCACCACTAAATAAACCATTTCCTCCACTCTTATAATATCAATTTTTTGGTTTTGTTTATTTTTTCATGAGTGTGAACACCATGTAAGCTGTGTTATAACTGTTAATTTTATCTTTCCCCTCACCATGCTGCTATATCAACAGAACATTAGATTCAATAATCTATAATAACATGCTAAAATTCCAAACTGAATCGTCAGTACGGTTTGAAGTAAACTTACTGTTATTATTATTATTGTTATTATTATTATTATAGTTAATATTCTCAATTCGCGCTTCGAATATTTTTGACTGTATATCGTAATCGTGGACAAATTCCTCTGGTTAATTTTGTTTTAATTTTTTAATTTTATTTATATTTTGAGTAAATCAGATGCAAGGTGTTGTGACAAATTCTGAGAATTCCATTCTGTATTATAAGTACTGTCTGTTTTGGAATAAAGTAGATTATTATTATTATTATCTTACCTTGAAGCAGCATACAACGCAGGGAAATCCATAAATTCTGCACAAGTGATGATGCTTCATGCTCCGTCTCCGCATTCGTCTCCAAATGTGAATGTTGTTGTCGTTGTTGTTGTAAATTCCATCCACTAAATGGACTGTACTTGTTGAACAGGTAGGCGGTCACACCATGAATGACCACTGAACAAAGAATCGATATCCAGACATCAAGTTTAAATAAGTGAAACACTTGGAAGTAGTAGTAGTAGTAACCACTACCGCTGGCTCTTGATGCTGTTGGTGCAGGTGGTGACTTGACAAGCACCCCGATTGTATCTTCAACTATTGGACCAATAAACTGAACATAATTTGATCTTCTTGGACTGATGGTTAACCCAGCGGCGATCATATCCACTTTCTAGCGCAGGAGAATAAAATTTTAAAAAACAAGTAGACAAGTGGGACCTGACACACTGCTGACCTTGGTGGCCTGCTTAAATCTTGGGCTACCAAATACTTTATACCTTATTCATTACAAATGTATTCAAAGAGAAGATACGAAACACATTATACTACTGAAAGACTTATTGTATATATAGTGAGCGCTTCACGAATGCATTCACTGCACTGACGCCCTCTCTTTCAGTTGATGTTGCACATTTAACATTGAACAACATTGCGCTGCACAATCAATCAATCAATTTCCAGTAGGAGGTTTGCTTATAACTCCCCTTAGCCACCATCTCATACGGATGTGTGCGTGTGTGTCATCACCATCTTACATAGTCTGAGGTGATAATCTAGTGCAACCTCCTCATAGGCACACTTGTGTGTGTATCTATCCCGGCCGGAGATTGGAAACTGCATTTCATCCGATACTGCATAATTCATAATATTCAGAAATGCGCCTTTTTGTTGACTGACAAGTGTCAATGAACGCACATGAAACCTGATGATCTCAAACATTCCTGGCTATTATTATTATTTCCTTTAATTCCTAGAGGAACATAGGGCTTCTTCAGCCAAACGTCTCCATTGCGCTCAGTTCTCTGCTAGAGTTTTCACCTGGCTCCAGGTTTGCCTACATGCTGTCATCATCTCCTCTTCACATGACCTCCTCCAAGTCACCCTCACCCTTGCACTGACGAGCTACTCGCCGCTTCCCTTTCGCGTTCCACTCGAGCAATGGCTTGTCTAGTGATGTCACTTGATGGTTTATTTTATCAAAGTATGGCCAATTTACCTCCATTTCTTCCTGCTTATTTGTTTCACAATCGGTTCCTGCTGTGTGGGTTCGTTAATTGACATAGATCCCTCCCTGTTGTTGATCCTTTCTGGCTGGCCGGCCATCTGATCTTGAATAGTGTTGAGCGAAGACAACTAGCTGTTGATGAAGGTGTGTAGTTTGTTTGAGGTGCTGTTTATGACGCGCTGGCCAAGTCTCTGATCCGTATAGTAGCACATGTTTTCATTTTCATGCTGAGTAGTGCTGTTGACCTCCACACAGACTTGAGAGTAATGAAGGCTTGTCTTGCTTTCCCAATATTCCTTACTTTGATATCCTCGTCAGTTCCGTCCACCTGTGGTTGAAACGATGCTTCCCAGGTGGTTAGGTAAGTAGGTAGGTGAAGGAGGTTGTTTCTTTCAGGTTCCTCCCATTTATGCTGACTGATTGCTGCCTGTTGTTGCTGTTGCTGTTGGTGTTGGCTAGGAATCTTCATCACCTACCTCTCTTTTCTCTATGTTCACCTGAAGTCCTATTTTTAATGCTTCTTCTGTCAACTTGTTGCTTTTCACTTGCATATCTTCCAGTTTGTGAGAAATCAGACATATATCATGGGTGAAAACTAGATCCTCCGAGTATTTTGTGTGAGTCCATTTTATGCCTGTTTCCTAACTGCCCGCTGTTTCTCGCATTATCCAATCTACTACGATCACGAAAATCTTTGGAGATAGTAGGCAGCCTTGTCTTACTCCTGTCCTCACTTCGAAGGATTCCGTAAGTTTCCCATTGTGGATTACTTGACATGCAGCATTGTTCTACAACTTGGGTCCACTGGGTCCTTTAACCTACAGAGCTTGTCCCTGAGTGAGTTTGTAGGTTTGAATGCCACCACTCTAATTCCTGCTTTACTTAGAATCCTACGTAGGGTCTCAGATGTCCCCTCTTTATATGGTATAACTGTAGATGACTTATATTCTCTCCTATTTATGTTATTATTACCAGTTTCACAATTCTTTTTAATTTTCTTTTGGCGTTTTTCAATCTTCCTAATGAATTTTAGAGGATTTGTTCTACAACTGTTGGATAAGATGCATAATTGTCAGCGGCACCGTGTAGTAGCTAAGTAGTAGCCAAATCACCTCTCGATCGACGCTGAGACATTCCTGGTGATTTCCTCAAATTATCTCAATTCCGTTTTGAGTTGCTTAACTTGCTGACCACCATCACATTGAAAACTTGACTGGCTGATATAATTCAGCCAGCCAGCCATTACTAAGAAGTAATAAAGAGGATGAGATTGGTTACCCCCTGGTGGGTGATCAATGCGGGGGGTATACTATTCCCACCTCCTACACAGAAGCTTTGCCAAACGGAAACTTACAAAAATGTAACAGATCGGCTGTGTGAGTGAATTTCTAACACACTCAGGGAAACAGCACTAACTACACTGCACATTAGCGCTACGGAATCACAAATGGAATCACACCTGCAACCGTGATGGTCCAATTCATCACATGATGATTCTGTCCGGGAAAGCACCAACCAGAGAATTGCTACAATGGAGGATATTGACTAGTAATACTTAGGACCATTACTACTAGGACCGCCAGTCCCACATTCTGTTACATTCTAAGTGAGTTGTGAACTCTAAAACTGCATCCAGGCAACCAGCATTCGTCTTAAAGTTAACTGATGCATTTAATTGGAGGATGGTGACTAGCAGTGGAATCCAGTCCAAGATAACGCGCATTTCGTCCTATTTGGGACTCGCCAACCAACTGGATGTGCCTGCATTCCTCAGTGAGTCAGTGATGATGTTCCCACCGAGGCTCGAACCCAGCGCCTATAGTTTCAAACACCAACAAAGCATTATCGAGTAGACCACTTGGGCCATGGGAGCTGGCCACCTCTTGTGCAACGGGTCATATTAATTATTTAATTGAATTGAGTTTTAGGTTTTCCCGTTGATTGATTGAACCGAAGTGCTCAGTCTCAGAGCCTCGGTGGGAACATCATTACTCACTGGGGAATGCAGGTACATCCAGCTGACCATGAGTCCCAAATAGGACGAAATGCGCGTTATCCTGGATTCCACTGGTGGCCGCCATCCACCAGTTGCCGTCTAATTACATACCCAGACATCGTCGAAGCATCTGCTCAAGAAGCCGACAGACATGTCAACCTGAGACCGAGCACTTCGGTCCAATCAATCAATCGACGGGAAAATCTAAAATTTAATTAAATTAACTCATACATATTGAAAAAAGTTCAAGGAATAGTCACTCGTATATTCCCCAGTATCATCGATTATTTATCATTCGAGCCATGACAGAATCCTATATATATCGTAAGTAGCAACGAGATTTAAACACGATATTCGGGATTCTTAGAAATGACTGTGGACCTGATCTATCTTATCTCCTCTTGTCTTTCCTACCAGGCTCAGAACACGTCAGATGATGCACAGCAAGAGAATTAACAGCTGAGGAGGGAATATATTGTCAAGAAGTACTGGCTCATTGATATAAGGATACAACTTGGGCACTGTGGTAGAGTGTAATTCCATTATGGGTAAAATTTATTTTGATAAAGTTTCACAGTGTTGTTATACAGTAATATTTACCAATGACAACGTTTCGAGCACAATTTATTGCTCATAATGAGCAATGTGCAGTGTAGTTAGTGTGTTAGAAATTCACACAGCCGACCTGTTACATTCTTCTATTTTCCGTTTCGCAAAGCTTCTCTGTAGGAGGTGATTAACCGTGTTAAGCATAACAGCTGAATACGAGGCCGAAACAATCTACTAAAATAGAATCACAGAACAGTTATTATCAGTGTAAACACGAATAACACACACACTTTTAAGCAACTGGCGAAATATGGGGGGAAGGGGAATAGTATACCACCCTCGCATTAATCACCCATCAGCGGGTAACCAATCTCCTCCTGTTTATTTCTTCTCAGTGGTGGCTAGCTGGCTGAATTCCATCAGCCAGTCAAGTTTTCAATGGGGGTGGTAAGCAAGTTAAGCAAGTCGCCACGGAATTGAGATAATTGGAGCAAAATCACCAGGAATGTCTCAGCGTCGATCGAGAGGTGTTTTAGCGACTACTTAGCTACTACAGGGTGCCGCCGACAATTATACATCTCATCCAACAGTTGTACAACAACGCTGCAGGCCAAGTAATTCAGAACCGGGAAACTTACGGAATCCTTCGAGGAGGTGAAGACGGGAGTAAGACAAGCTGGCTGACTACTATCGCCAGTGATTTTACTGATTGCAGTAGATTGCATAATGGGACAGACAGCGACGGGCAGTGAGGAAACAGGCATAAAATGGACCCACACGAAAAAAGAACTTGGAGGATCTGGACTTCGCCAATGATAACACATACTGATTGATCTATGTGTAGACTTTCATCTGATTTCTTGTGGTGAAAAGAAAAGAAAACAATGTATGGCTGCATAAACAAGGAAATCATCGTGATCTCGGTGATGTTCACATGATCATCTTCTCTAGCATACGACAAGTTAAGAAGAAGCTGATCTCTTCCTTCTTCGTTGGGAGAAAATCCTTCTAGTCTTTCTCTTTGTGTTACAAGAATCAGCACCAACATCTTTGACAGTGTTGATTAACGCATGGCCTATTTTCGGCATGTTAACTGCATGTTCTTCTCAAGCTGCTTAACCAAATCAGCATAAGATTAACTGTATGTGTGTATGTGTGTGGTATCGTTCGGTTTAAGAACATTCATTTTTGTGTCAGTCTTTACGTATAATATTGATAAAAATCGACAAATTCTTATGGCATATGTGTTTTTGTTAAAAACTGAGAGTTTATTTTCGGCGGCGAATTCATTTTCTTACCTGTACAATCGCAAATATATATGTATGGGTTATTTTGGATGTATGTGTACATTAAGTTTGTCAAACAAAAATAGACAATTGGTTATGGTTATTTTAACTAAACAGGTGAAGATTGGTTGTTGGAGTTACGTAATACAAATCAATCTAAAAAATTAGGTGATAATGAAATTAGTGTAGTAACAAAGGTGATGAGTTACCAGGTACATCGGTCGTTCGACGCCAACCCTGTCCAATAGGATTCAAGAAGACTATCCAGCTACTGTGGTTGCGAAAAGGCAATGGTGGTGGTGCAATAAGGAGTGTGATAATTGAATTCCTGGTTAACACTGATCATTCCATCTCAACAAACGCCTCAAACGCTTCAAAGTAATCTACATAGTCAAGAATAACCTACCAAAGGCAATACGGTTTCGTCTTCTTTGTATCTCTGAAGCTCTGGCCATTCACATAGAAAAGCCGGAGCTGTGCATACAAAAGAGAATTACTCAACCACTTTTACTGTCGTGGTAACAACTTTGTTGATTTTGATGACTTAATTTTGTTTCTCTGCTTGTTCTTTAATTGCTTATAATTCTTAAATTGATTATAATTCTTGTATTCACTTAGTTCTCTTACGTAATTTCGTATTATCTACTTTGTTCCTATGTATATCCTGAGTAAAACTCACTCATCAAACTATTCATTGTATCACATAATATCTTTTAACAACTGTTTGTGACAACTCATCACCTTTGTTACTGCCCTAATTTCATTAACACCTAATTTTCTTGACTTGTATTACCAATCTTCACCTGTTCAGTTAAAATAGCCATAACCAGTTGTATTTTGTTTGACAAACTTAATGTACACATACATCCAAAATAACCCATACATATATATTTGCGATTGTACAGGTAAGAAAATGAATTCGCCGCAGAAAAGAGACTCTTCGCTGATCTACGTGTTTTGTTATGATTAATGCCTAGATGGGGAAAGCTAAAACATTGAAAAAAACTATGAGGACGGCATTTGTTGTTGTTGTTGCTGTTAATTTGTGCAATGAATGACCAGGCAGGCAGGCAACACATTAAAGTAGTATATGATTTACAAAATTGATTATGCTCTTTTGATTTTACAGCCAGTAACTGGTTGTTTTTATCATACAAAAAGCTGCTGTTTGCTTGCTTGCTTACTTACTCCGCTGACTAGTTCACCCATCATCCCATCCCATTGGTCTGCGTCGTCGTTCAGTGCACCGTATGTACCATTCTCTGGTATAAATAAGCGATAACTAATAAATAAATAAATAGTGAGCATAAAAAAGGGCAGCAGCAGAATTATTATTATTATTATCAAGGGCATTCATTATCAAGGACAACAAAAATGATGCATATAATCAATCAATATGCTGAAAGTTACTCAGCTAATCAGTGAATTATTTGCTGCCTAGACTACTTAAACTAGTAGCGTAACAACAGAAGGCAAGGGCCAGGCAACAGATCGTTTATTTAAGAAAATTAACACATATTTATAGATTTTCATGGACATCATTATCGATTATTGTTAGCAGACAAACACAGTCTTCTGATTGGTTGTTTCTTTTTTGTGACTGTTTCTTGAAGGTCAGATCATCTATCTGCTAATTGTATCCACCTACGCAAACAAAGTGTGTTGTGATTGGTTGTTGAGTCAGTCAGTCTTTGTTCTTGTTCTTGTTTTTCACATGACCAATATTAGGGACATAAACATTGACGTAAATTACTGTCTACCAATTTTTGTCTAGCGGACAGCTCTCATCACACTACGACAAAGCAGCTATCCAGAAACCGTTAAATTTGAATGGACTTCGCTGTCTGAGCCAGCTCTCACCACAGTAGTAAACATAAGGTGTTACTACGACCTAAGTGAATGAACGAACCACCGAATAACGTTGAACAACCCATAATCAGAATAGCCTCATGCTGCTAATATCGTGTATTATAAACAGTGTTCCAATCAAATCCCTACAAACCAACACTTGAATATCGATGAGATGCTCACTAGCGACTTGCCCTATTTAGGTAGGTAGTTACCTCGGTGGGTTCTAGTGAGAAGTCGTGACCAGTAGGGTGCAGCATGTCCAAGGTGTGTGAGGACAAATATTCGCCGAAGACATTGGCTAGTGCCAGTCGCGCTATGTCGTGAATTGGCAGAAGTTGGAATTCATGCGCTGACTGGCTGGCCATTGGATGGGGTCCCAGTGGCTAAATGGTCTACGAGCTAGCTCGCTGGCCTTGTAACCAGAAGGTCCTGGGTTCGAAGCTTCTGTGGTGGGTACGGGTACTGTTGAAGAGTCCCAAACTAGGACGGAGGAAACAGTTGCTCAATATTCGCTGCAGGTTTTCCGATGGTTGTATAACCAACCAATGTCAGCTCATGATGAAATCCTGTAACCAATCACTTGAGTGTTCCTTTTATTTATGAGTGGATCATAGGAACTTCAACAGAACACACCTCCACCTGTTTCATTCTGTTTTCTCGTGTCATTTTTTTAGCTGGCTCGACAATTACCCGTTAAGCTGTCATCGCCACCTGACACAGTCTCCTCCATATCACCCTTGGACTCCCAACTGATAATAATAATAATACCATAATAATCAGACGTATAACTGAATAAAAGCAGGTTTAACCACAATCATCACTTGCTCATTTCGTAGGTCGTTCACTGAGGTTGTGATACTTTATATTTACCAAAGATATCACACATATTAATGACACAACGAAACATACCATCTAATCTCACCAAACAAGAATATGAAGACTTAAGAAATTTGAAATAAGACAAAGGCATCGTTATAACGAAAGCCGACAAGGGAAACGTCACTGTGATAATGAACAGAATGGATTATGAAACGTAGAAGGCGATTGAACACCTTCCATCTGAAGGACCACGCTAACTCACTCATTGAAGAGAAGAAGAAGAAATCCGCTGAATTCAACAAAATGAAACTAAATACCAAACAGAGTCCTTCAAGAAATGAAACCCGAAATTGGAAATTCTCTCCGGTTTAAACTAAAACCAAAATCTTATGTACCTTCAAGATTCTACGGTCAACCAAAGATGCATAAATCCACAGTTCAATTAAGACCAGTAATAGATTTCACTAACTCACCGACATACAACCTCTCTAAATTCTTACTCTCAGGACTACAACAACTACAAAAGGACACTCAAAATATTGTAAGAAATTCATATGATTTCAAATCGCAAATAGAACACCGAGAAATTGATAAAGAACACGACATTATGGTAAGCTATGATATTAACTCATTATAAACTAGTATCTATCCCTATCACTGAAAGTCTTGATATCATTTCCAGTCTACTAGAATCAGATACAACGCTATCAAAAAGATGTCCACTGGACACCAGTGAAATAATAATTAAGAGCTTGAAATTCTGTCTAGAAAGTAATTATTTTACATTTAAGGGGAGTTTTTAAATAGACAGACAAATGGTGTTGCTATGCGTTCACCAGTCTCCCCAATAGTCGCCGACCTTTTCATGAATAAATTCGAAGATAAAAACTTTTCCACAATACTCGCTTCTAAAATATGGTTAAGATATGTAGATGATACTTTTGTAGTGCTACACAGTTCATTCCTGGAGAAAATAAACTGTGTATCTCCCAGAATCCAGTTTACTTCGGAAGTAGGCAGAATCAGACGTCGGTGAACTACCATTTCTAGACAGCATCGCTAGTTAAGAGGAAGGAAAACGAACATTTTAGTATATCCATATTCAGGAAGAAAACCCACTCCAACAAGAAATATTTAGACTTCAAATCATCACACTCCATCAACGCAAAGACATTTCAGTTGTTTCAAGTCTTCTTAGACGAACACACTCTCTGATGTTAACGGATGAGAAAAAAAGGCGAAAGAAGAAATGTCAAAGATTACTGAAACTCTCCTCAAGCAAAACAACTACCCAACGAACTTCATCAACACGGACATTAAGTATGGCCGAAAAAGCATTCCGCAAACGTGGACATCAACAGTCGTCATTCCATATAGAGCAGAAACGTCAGACGATATCAGGAGAGTACTCAATCAGCTCGACATTAGAGTTTTCTTCAAAACATCAGACAGACTGCGAAACAACCTTGTTCATATGAAAGACCAATTCCCTAAAGATTCTCTATCTACTAATTGTGTCTATAAAATAAAATGCTTGTTTGGAATGTGATGCGAAATACATCGGACAAACATCGCTAGAGAAAAATGAAAATCAAAAGAAATTAACACATTAGAGCATCTGTTCGACCACCGAGAATTAATCCGGTTGAACTAGAAAAGCTTGAAAAATCATCAGCCAGTCACAGGTCGTCTACACACTACGCTATAGAATCAGGCCACAAAATTGGTTTTGACAATATTGAAATCGTCATCCAGAAAAACTTCAGAAATCACAAAGAACGTCTAATATCAGAGGAACTTCATATCAACTGGAATTTAAATTGTCTGAACTGAATAGGAATGATGGACTAAAACAGAATCTGACCTGGTTACAATACCTCACTCACCCATGAAATGACAAAATCAACACGAATGTGATGAGCAAGTTCACTATGTAAACACTTGCTGCTTTTATAATTTTACACACTGATCAAATCCAACAGTCATCTACACTTGGTTTTGTTATCTTTACCAATTGGCCAACTTGACAACGAAAAATGACCCCATACTGACGAACGATGATCAAGTTAGTAAACTTTGTTTTGATACCAGCCAGTGCAGATGTACTATTACCTCTGTTTAGTGATCTTCATTGTTATTTTGACTTTCAATATATCCTCCATTTAAGTTGACCTAAGTAGTCTATTTTCTCACCTCTTAACTCTTTGTTATATGTATGCTGAGTGGATTTTGTAAATTCCGGTTTAATAATACTACTTTGATAAAGCTACTAGCAGCAGCATTAAATAGCGAAACGTCAGTAACAGAAACAATATCGTTGATTGTTTTTCATTCATTGGGAAATACAAAAACCTTTATTATAATTATTTTACCACAGAAGCTCTAAAAAAATGTGAACCGGGATCAATAGTAGTCAATCAGCCAGCCTACGTTGGATTGATTACGCGTATTTGTCATCATTATCATCACTAGGGGTGATTTTTGACCAGCATACATAAAGAATATCCTACTACTTGCATGTCACTAACTATCCACCGATGTTGTCAATCTCTCGATTAAGTGAAAAGTAGTCACTCACACACAAAAAATTATAGTAAGTCTTTTACTCACTTCACTTCACTTTATATCCTCCACATGTAGGAGGGTGATGCGTTTGATATCAGCAACTAACTAACTAACTAACTATTCAGGGGCACATCGTCAACCATGATGGTTAGACTATTTCCGTGGCCCCATCCCTTATTTTCACCTAGACTCTTCAGTAATCAACAATCTGTCACCAGACATCTTCCAAAAGTCTTGTTTTTCTCAATTTATGGCTTGCTACTACTGTCTGAAGTGTATTCACTCGTCCTTTAATCTTGTTGATTTCCACCCGCCCTCACCGCGCCTGGTTGTTGTGATGTAATTTTTTCTGACAGAGTGACAGCGTGAGAATACAACGACTCTCTACAATTTCTCAACGTCCTACTAACGAGAAGAGAGGATGGTTCCGTCAAAAGAACTATATTTAGAAAGCTAGGGACCAAAGCTCAGTATACACACACTTCCTTAGCTTTGTACCGATGAAATACAAACGTAATCTGATCAGGTGCTTAGCATTTAGAGCGAGGTCTATTTTTTTCCGAAGACTGCGTAGAGAAAGAACTCCAGGTCATCCGAGACATTCTAAGCGATAACGGATATCCAGAGAAGTTCATTAAAGCCAACATAGGTTACAATAGCCGTAAACATGAACTGGTAACGATGGAGAAAAAGCCTCTGTTTTTACGTCTACAATTCAAGGGAGATACTCCTGCGGAGATTCTATCGCAATGTTTAACCAGGGTGATCAAGAAAACTTTCTACTCTGCACGTCTGTGTCTATTCCTTAAGTAGCCGTCCAATGTTCACCCAGCAACTCAAAGATGTCTTACCTAACCTTAGCTCTTCTTCATGCATATACCATTTCAACTGTTCCTGTGATTCAAGTTATTTATATAGGGCGCACGATTAGGCAGGTTCGTCTACGGTTTCGAGAACATTTACCAGCTTGCTTCAGCAGGGGGAAATTAAGTGCATAAAAAGCCTGGTCCTGTCACACTTGGTCGAGACTACTGGACATCATAGCGATGTCAACACAGCTTTCAAGGTTATTTACCGAATTCCGAAGTCGTTATCACGTACAGTTCACTTACGTCTTCTACACATAGCTGAAGCTGTTGCAATAAGATCGAATAAACCGGAACTTTGTATCCAAAAAGAACACGTCCAGACGCTGTTCCTACTGTGGTCAAACTTGGATTGATGATTCTTCTTCTCACCATGAGTGCTCCTTCCCCTTAACCCTCTTGGTTTTTTTTACTCTGTTTATTATTACAAATATTATTATTACGGTTATTATTATTACCATTACTATTAGTATTAATATTATTATTCGTCATAATTTATGCCCTTCATACAAACATTCCCTCAATACTATCGAATTTTCCATTTATACTATCCGGACTTATTATTAGTGATATTATCTCTTTTCTCAATATATGCCTCCACCTGTTTCATTTCACATATTCGTTATCTCACTATGAACCTCCCATTGCAGTCTTACTATCTCCTGTTTAACACAGACCACTTTGTACTAGCCGCTCACCTGACACCTTTTATAACCTTGAACTGACTTGTCAATTTTCCTACCCCACACTCTACAAATCTATTACGACGACTAATCACCACCACCACTGTCTCCCATTTAACCGAAATATTTTGTAATCGATTTCAGCCTAGCACGTCTGTGACACAAATACGAGTATTTATTTTGACACCTCATAACTGCTAATCTGTTATTCCACGTTAAGAAAAAATGTATCCGACGCCACATAACTAACTGGCCAACATTATTGTAACGACAATAAAAATTATATTATATTTTATAACTGTAAGAACCTGAAGAGAAGGATGTATTGAAAAGAATATTCTTCGTTCAGATTGACTTTTAATTAACATTCATTCGAAATATTGAAGAAGATTTATGTAACTCAAGTGGTGGTTGTGTGTTTGGCGTTGGTGTTGGTGCATTCTATAATGACCTTGGCAGTTTGATTGACAATCTGTCATTGTCTGTCTGTCTGTCTAGACAACAACACCATCTATTCAGTGCTAACTTCAATGTGTGAAGTAACCCTTTTCAAGTCCACACACAGAAAGTGGTTCTGTGTCCACTTCTTGTTCCCCCCCTTAAACAATTTACTCATATCATGGAAAATACCCATCGGAACATTAGATTGAAAAGAACAAGAAGTTCAGTAACACTCACTTTTGAAATGTAGGACTGATTGGGTTTTGCTCATGTCACTGAAATTCCCCTTTCATTTTGTAAAGAACAAGAAGTTCAGCAAAGATGGCGATCTTTTCGGCGATTTCATTCTCAAAAGCACCTGTACAATCGCATTTATATACAACATTAGTTTACATGGATACAATTATTATTTGTTTAATTAATTCCACATAGTAACGAAGGTGATAATAATTTTCAACTTGATATGAAAGTTTGAAGGTACGAATATAGAAGATTACAAGGGGCTTAGAGACAAGATTGCATAGGATTAGAAAAAACAGTTACAACGTATGCAAAATTAATATTTGATAACTGGAGAAATAATAAGTTTAAAGGTGAATAAAAGGTGACAATTATTTTCAACTTGATATGAATTACAAGAGGCTTAGAGACAAAAGTTACGCAGGGATAGAACGAATTACAGGTGTGAACAAAATGAGCATGGAAACAAATTGAAATCAAAATTTTTCTCCAACTTGAAATGTAAGTTAGGAGGTGTGTGTGAATATAGATTACAAGAGGCATAGAAGCGAAAAAATTACACAGAATTAGAATATAATAGTAAACTGGTTATTCTAAACGGATTACAAATGTGATCAGGAGGAGCATGGAAACAAACTTAAAATAATTGATTTTATAACTGAAAACAAAAATGTGATGAATTGAATGAAGGCAAAGAGAGATAAAATTACACACACAGAGAACAAAACAAAAAAAACTGAAGGATAAGGGAACATACCGAACTAGGTCCACGGTAGTTGTAAAGGCTGGACTAGTTTCTTTTGAACACATAGCTCCGGCTTTTCGATGCATATGGTGAGAGCTTCCACAGTACAAAGAAGAAGTCGGAAACACACTGACTGCCTTTGGTAGATTTTTGTTTACTTTGTAAATGACTCTGAATGATGAGTCATATATTAATTTTGCATACGTTGTAACTGTCTTTTCTAATCCTATGCAATCTTGTCTCTAAGCCCCTTGTAATCTATATTCGTACCTTCAAACTTTCATATCAAGTTGAAAATTATTATCACCTTCGTTACTATGTGGAATTAATTAAACAAATAATAATTGTATCCATGTAAACCAACGTTGTATATAAATGCGATTGTACAGGTGTTTTTGAGAATGAAATCGCCAAAGTGATCGACATCTTTGATGAACTTCTTGTGTGGTTAGAGCTGTCTACTAGCCAAATTGGTAGACAGTAATTTACGTCAATATTTACGTTCCCAAGATTTGTCGTGAGAAAATGTGAATAAAGATTGATTCAAAACCGACCACAGCAGAATTTGCGTAGGCGGATGCAGTTAACATATAGAGGATTTGACATTCAAGAAACAGTCACAAATAGATGAAAGATTAACTTTACGTGAGAAACAACCAATCGGAAGACTGTGTTTGTTTGTTTACGTATCCATAGTAATGTACATGAAAACATATATAAATATGCGTTGATTTCCTTAATAAATGATCTGTTGCCTGACTCTTGCCTTCTGTCGTCACACTTGTTCTTTTTAATCTAATTTACACACACAAATTAGTTCATGTAAAGAAAGTAATCAAACAAAAATTGTTTACCCAAAATTGAAGCGTATCGCCAACTCGTTCAATATGTCAATTGCAAATCCTGTAGCGTTGAACACCTCTCTGTTTTTTTCATCCAGCCGACCAGTGACAACAAATGGTGCATCCTATAGAAAATCAATGAATGAATGAAATAAAAATAGTGGAGAAATTCTCTTTAAGGCATTGTAAGATACGAGTTCATTGTCACAGTGAAAATGTGGTTCACTCAGCATGCAGAAAAGTAGACGAAATAAACTAGAACCTAAAAGTGTGTTTGTTTCTGTGCATTTGGTTTGTGAGAGTGGATTTGTTCTTCACTGTGGGTGGGTGGGAGGGGGTTACAATCTCATTCCGAACCTCCTATCCGTCGCCAACTGAAGACGGGGTGGTAAATTAGCCTAGGTTACTAGCTCTAGACTTCCAATGAAAGCCACCTTCAATCGACAAAGAACCAAACAACGACCGCAATGCGAAACGACGGGTCGAGCGTGGGGCTTAGGATTAACGCTGAAGAGTATATCTCTGCAAGGGGAGACGAAAGCGCTTTCGGTCAGTCATGGAGTCAGTTAGTTCAGAGTGATTTCAGAGAGCAAATTGAAACTAAGATATCGAAGAAATAGCCAGTTCGGAATAGGTCAGCCAAAATCTAATCCCCTTTCTTATTGTCTAAGGCGGTAACTGGGTCAGTTTTTCAAGCGCTTTGAAAGAGAGAGCATGGTGATAACAGAATTGGTGGGTGGGGGAGAATTATTTTTTTCCAATTAGATGACACTTGTAAAGTTTGCCTATCCTTGTTACTTCATTAAAAGCTTCGGGGAATAATTTTGTTTCTAGGTAGGTATATTTTGCTTTTAAAAGTTGTATAGTTACAATAAAAATATAAATAACACACTTATAAATGACTGACAAAGCAGGTTGACATGATTCAGCGTATCCCAGAAAATGACGGCGAGGTAAGAGAGAATCTCAAAAGGTATTTTAAACAACTTAACAGTGAGTGCGGTTAAGTGGGCTGTAACTACTAAGATATCAAAGAGAATATGTGGTGAGAGCTGTATGCTAGCGAAATCGATAAACAGTAATTTACGTCAATGTTTACGTCCCAAATATTGGTCATGAGAAAAGAAGAACAAGAACAAAGACTGTCTGACTCAACAACCAATCACAGCACACTTTGTTTGCGTGGGTGGATACAATTAACAGATAGGTAGTTGGTCTGACCTTCAAAAACAGTCACAAAGAGATGAAAGATTAACTTTCAGTGAGAAACAACCACCAATCAGAAGACTGTGTTTGACTGCTAACAATAATCTATAATTAATGTACATGAAAATCTATAAATATTTGTTGATTTCCTTAAGGAACGATTTGTTGCCTGACTCTTGTCTTCTCTTGTTACAAATGGATATATCAGTGCAGAAGAAAGTCACAAAAAGTAAGCTACAGGGTAGGTAAGTAGGTGAATAGAGGAATTGCTTTTACATGCACAGATGACTTTCTTACTCTCCTATTAATAATAATACTACTAATAATAATAATATCTCAATAGCGTAAATTAAACTTTTTCTTAAGCCAAGTGAAAGTGAATTTTGAAACCATGTACATAGACAGCTTTCTCGCTGTTGAAAGCAACGGAAGTAAACAAAAGATGCTCACTAGTGTAGCAGTTTTCCATATACAGACGTTACACTTTACTTGTATTTGCAGTGCACTGACCATTGACCAAAGTTTTTGATGTGGTTGTGTTCTCTGAGCTGGCTGGATAGTTAATTTGCGAAGCTTTCATCGCCCTACTGGGCAGGCGACATCTTCCTTCAGCGCATACACTTCAATTTCAATTGAGGTGGGCTTTCCGACTTCTCCACCAGTTTATCAATCATCTCTCCTCGTCGGTGACCACCTTCGACGTGATTGTTTGTTTTTGTCTGTTTCCACACCATCTAGGTTACTTCTATTGAAACTGATTGTTTCTTTGACTTGAACTTTGACCCTATGTGTGTGTGTGAGATTTCCTTCTTATCGGTTGATAAATTTTGTCGATCTCGATGTGTCTATTGATTGATGATTCACTGGAATACCAGACAGGCTTCAAAAAATTCTCTAGCATTCTTGGTGTTGTTTCCTCTGTCTAATATTTGAACGTTGGTTGTCCCAGTCGAATTGATGTCCTTGATTGTCTGTATGTAGTGATATGAGGGAGTGGATATCATGTCTTTTAACGGCTAGCTTATGTTCGTGGATACGAAGACGAAGAGCAGGGACGTCCACATTGGCCAATGTAGTGTTTTTCGCAGTCTTTGCAATTTATTTTGTAGATGATGTTGATTTATCTTCTTTCGCTGTTGAGTCTGTCTTTTGGTTGACATAGAGTCAGCTGAGTGAAGTGATTTTGTTGGTTTGTGTAGGACGTAAATTCCTAAAGGTTTGACGAGTGTTGCAGTGATTTCTGAGATGTCCTTTATATATGGTAGGGCGACTCTCTTTGTGCTTTCCTTGGGAGCTTTTGGTTTGATAGGTTGGCTTGAGGGTATATGTCTTTTGATGAAGTTCTGTGGATATCCATCCTCTCTATTGGAAGACGCCCATGAGATATCTTCCTTCAATTTTCCTTAAGGCGGGAGTGCTGCAATGATTTCTGACTGGCTGACCCTCTTGAGTAGTGTTTGTATGCAATTCCTTTTGTGTGTTATTGGATTGTTGCTGTTGTAATTCAGTATTTGGTCTGTGTGAGAGATGATTAATAAACTCATGGAGAAATGTAAAAGCTCACTTCAATTTCAATTGAAGTATGCGCTGAAGGAAGATGTCGCCTGCCTAGTAGGGCAATGAAAGCTTCGCAAATTAACTATCCACCTCAGAAAACACAACCACATCAATATCATCCACCTGACCTATAAATCTTCTCTATCATAACTGACCAAAGTTTCACATAGTGTGGTCATTAATAAATCTGTATCAGAACATTCTGAAATATGTTGTGGATTACTAAAATGTATCCATAAACAGTGGTGAGAGTCTAAACACCTAGAAGTGTTCATTTCCTCTGGGGGTACCTCCATGTACAAGCAGGTCACTAACGAATTTGACTTGAAAACGGCTTAAGCCTATTTAATTTTTGCGGTATAACTAACCAGTAGGCATTTGCAAAGCCGATATTTTTATCATGTAGATGCTATGCTTGAGTTTTCATTTCATGAGTAGTTTGAGGGAGATCACACACGACTATGAAACAAAGTTATCTAGTTATATGTGTCCAAACCAAGTTCACTTTTAACAGTTTGAAAAAATTTGGGCATTGGGTATATGATATTCATTATGATAAAGGTTTACTTGTATTTCCCAATGAATGAAAAACAAAACGATATTGTCGTTTTTATTGACGTTTCGCTATTTAATGCTGCTGCTAGTAGCTTTATCAAAGTATTTTTAAACCAGAATTCACAAAATCCACTCAGCATATATATATATATATAACAAAGAGTTAAGAGGTGAGAAAAAAGACTTAGGTCAAGTTGAAGGGACATATTGAGAGTCAAAATAACAATGAAGATCACTAAACCAAATAACAGAGGTAATAGTACATCTGTTATGATATCAAAACAAAGATTACTAATTTGGTCATTGTTCGTCAGTATGGGGTCATTTTTCGTTGTCAAGTTGGCCAATTGGTAAAGATAACAAAACCAAGTGTAGATGACTGTTGGATTTGATCAGTGTGTAAAATTATAAAAGCAGTGTGTGTTTACATAGTGAACTTGCTTATCCCATTCATGTTGATTTTGTCACTTCATGGGGGAGGGGTTGGGGGTGTTGTAACCAGATTAAATTCTGTTTTAGTCCATCATTCCTATTCAGTTCAGACAATTTGGATTCCTTTAGATGATATGAAGTGCTTCTGATGACATGAGACGTTTTTTGTGATTTCTGAAATGCTTTTTCTGGATGACGATTTCATTATTTTCAAAATCAATTTTGTGGCCTGATTCTACAGCGTAGCGTGTAGATGTCCAATGGCTGGCTGATGATTTTTCAAGCTTATCTGGTTCAACCGGATTTATTTCTCGGTGGTCGAACAGATGCTCTGCGGTGTTCATTTCTTCTCATTTTGATTTCTCTCTAGCGATGTTTGTCCGGTGTATATCACATCACATTCCAAGCAAGCATTTTATTTTATAGACACAATTAGAGAATCTTTAGGGATTTGGTCTTTTATATGGACAAGATTGTTTCTTAGTGTGTCTGATGTTTTGACGAAAACTCTAATGTCGAGCTGATTGAGTACTCTTCTGATATCGTCTGATGTCTCTGCTCTATATGGAATGACGACTGTTGAGGTCCATGTTTTCGCAATGCGTTTTCAGCCATACTTAATGTCAGTGATCATTTGGCTGACGAAGCTCCTTGGGTAGCGAAACGTCCACAAAAACAATATCGTTTTGTTTTTCATTCATCGGGAAATACAAAAACCTTTATTATAATAAAGTTATCTACTGTCATCTGACAATGTATGTTTGTGTGCGCGCCATGTAGTACGTTATTACCAACAGGAAATATCCATGCGTCGGTGACATAGCGGTTAAGACTCTCGCCAACCATGCACATGGTCCGGGGTTCTATCCCCTGCCGCCACACACCTGATATCAGTGGTCGGCCTGCAAAACTTTGGCCTACGTATGATATCACATGCTGAAAATTCCATACTTGTACCGCAGAAATACGGTGTGGAATCAAGCTATAATTAAAAAAATTAAATAAATAAATTTATAAAATCTCAGCTGAACTCAGTACACTCACAAGAACTGTTGATATGCGGAGAATTTTTCCATTGAATGACTGAAAAACATTTGAGAACAAACCACTCTTCAGACTTTTTTGTTTAATTTCTACTCCTCTCCTGGTGAGTTGCATTTGGTCATTGGGAGTGAATTGTGCTGTGGCTATGAAATGCTGCGTTGTGTCATTCACTTTGTCCAGTGAATAAAACCAGAAAGATTTCCATCTACTGGAACCAGACCCCTAGAATGAGACAGACAAACACAATGTATGAATCAGTAATACCCATTCAGGCATTAATGAAAATAAAACACGTAGTTCAGCGAAGAGTCTCTTTTCCGCGGCGAATTCATTTTCTTAGCTGTACAATCACAAATATATATGTATGGGTTATTTTGTATGTATGTGTACATGAAGTTTGTCAAACAAAAATTGACAATTAGTTATGGTTTTTTTAACTAAACAGGTGAAGATTGGTAATTGGTAATACAAAGTCAGTCAAGAAAATTAGGTGTTAATGAAATTAGGGTAGTAAGAAAGGTGATGAATTGTCATAAACAGTTGTTAAAAAGGAAGTTATGTAATAATATGAATGGTTTGATGAGTGAGTTTTACTCAGGATGTACATATGAACGAAGTAGAGAATACGAAATTACGTAAGAGTTCTAAATGAATACAAGAATCATAAGCAATTAAAGAATTATGAGCAATTAAAGAACAAGCAAAGAAACAAAATTAAGTCATCAAATCAAAAAAGTTGTTACCAAGACAGTAGGAGTGGTTGAGTAATCCTCCTTTGTATGCACAGCTCCGGTTTTTCTATGTGAATGGCCAAAGCTTCAACGATACAAAGAAGATGAAACCGTGTTCCCTATGATAGGTTATTCTTGACTCTGTAGATTACTTTGAAGCAGGAGGTGTTTGTTGAAATGGAATGATCAGTGTTAACCAGGTGTTCAATTATCGCACCCCTTATTGCACCACTATTGCCTTTTCGCAACCATGCTGGCTTGATAGTGTTCTTGAATCCTGTGTTAGTGTTAGGGTAGTAACAAAGGTGATGAGTTGCCACAAACAGTTGTTAAAAGAAGTTATGTAATAATATGAATAGTTTGATGAGTGAGTTTTACTCAGGATGCACATAGGAACAAAGTAGAGAATACGAAATTACGTAAGAGTTCTAAAGGAATAGAAGAATTACCAGCAATTAAAGAACAGGCAAACAAACAAAATTAAGTTATCAAAATCGAAAAACCAAATCAGAAAAGTTGTTACCAAGACAGTAGAAGTGGTTGAGTAATCCTCCTTTGTATGCACAGCTCCGGTTTTTCTATGTGAATGGCCAAAGCTTCAACGATACAAAGAAGATGAAACCGTGTTCCCTATGATAGGTTATTCTTGACTCTGTAGATTACTTTGAAGCAGGAGGTGTTTGTTGAAATGGAATGATCAGTGTTAACCAGGTGTTCAATTATCGCACCCCTTATTGCACCACTATTGCCTTTTCGCAACCATGCTGGCTTGATAGTGTTCTTGAATCCTGTGTTAGTGTTAGGGTAGTAACAAAGGTGATGAGTTGCCACAAACAGTTGTTAAAAGAAGTTATGTAATAATATGAATAGTTTGATGAGTGAGTTTTACTCAGGATGCACATAGGAACAAAGTAGAGAATACGAAATTACGTAAGAGTTCTAAAGGAATAGAAGAATTACCAGCAATTAAAGAACAGGCAAACAAACAAAATTAAGTTATCAAAATCGAAAAACCAAATCAGAAAAGTTGTTACCAAGACAGTAGAAGTGGTTGAGTAATCCTCCTTTGTATGCACAGCTCCGGTTTTTCTATGTGAATGGCCAGAGCTTCAGCGATACAAAGAAGGCGAAACCTTATTGCCTTTGATAGGTTGTTCTTGACTCTGTGGATTACTTTGAAGCATTTGAGGCGTTTGTTGAAATGGAATGATCGGTGTTAACCAGGCGTTCAATTATCCCACTCCTTATTACACCACCACTATTGCCTTTTCGCAACCATACTGGCTGGATAGTGTTCTTGAATCCCGTTGGACAGGGTGCGCATTGAACGACCGATGTACCTGGCTGGCTCCACAGCACCAGGTGAACTGATAAATCCACATAGAAATGGTCAGATGCGAGATCTTGTCCTTGAGGCTTCTCCAGATCAGTGGGCGACTGAAGAAAACTATTCTTAGCGTTTCTGCAAAAAATGTTCTTCTCAGAGATGATGTGATCCTTCTCTTGAGAATATCGCTTGTTCAATCTCCCTTGAAATCCAAGTTCATGTAGAGTTTCTTTTTAGGCACAAGTGAAGTTTTATGTCTACAAATTCTTGGTTTGATTTGATTTTTGTCAATGAATCTTGGTGGGTATCCATTTTGGATGAAGATTTCTCTCAGAAAATCTAACTCTGTTTGTAGAACATCGAAATTACAGATACGTCAGATGCCGGCGGCAAGTGATTTAATTAAATTCCGCTCTTGTTCAATGGGTATCCAGCTATAGAAGCTTGTTAGTTGACCATTCCAGGTAGCTTTTCTATGGATCGATCTTCTTAGGCTCCCATCAATTCTTCTTGTTAGTTCCGCATCAAGAAACGGAATTTTGACTCATTTTCCATTTGAAGAGTGAATTTTATTGCTAGATGGCAACAGTTAAATGTCTTCATCAGTTGACTGGGGTCACTGTTGTTGTCACAAATAATGAATATGTCGTCTACGTATCTTTTATACAATCGGAAATTGTCAATGCTGGGCTTGTCATGAACCAATCTCATAGTAGTGGACCCAACGGATATTCCTAATTTCATTAACACCTAATTTCCTTAACTGATTTTGTATTACATAACTTCAATTACCAATCTTCACCTGTTTAGTACAAATAACCATAACCAATTGTCTACTTTTGTTTGACAAACGTAATGTACACATACACACAAAATAACAAACACAATGAGCAAAAATGAATAAGAAGAGACAAACCCAAATTTGGACATTGATTGATATTCATTGATTTTTTGAGTTTGTACAAAATAAAAGAGTCGAGAGTCGTCTATTATAGTCGAATCTCGTATTCGCTGTCTGATTAGGTATATGAAGAAACTTCAAAGGGAAGTACACTCTGACTTGTATTTTCAATCTTTCCTTTTCACAGTGGAACAGAGGGTTTCAGGCTTTAGGCATTCAAATCTCAGGAGCAGATGTGTTTTTTCACAGGGCGACCAAATGTGTGATTGGCAGGCATTCTACTCTTAAACCAGCAACGCTCAACAGTCTGACTACTGAACTAATAGTGAGAAGAAAACAAAGCGGTAATCGAATTCTCAATATGAATACTATAAATAATAGATATGTAGTGAGGCTATCTGTGACAGGATTGGTTTGGACAATGGAATGAAAATCATGATCACGTCAAGAGCCAGGCAGACGGACTTCGATCGACGAGTTCTGTGCTCTCTCCGCTGAGGTTTGACACCAGCCAACTAACTAATTATCATTTCACCGTTGGACATCATCCAAGATGATGATGTATGGAGTGAAGAATAATGATTTAGTCAGGTGGCGCCTTCTGATGTGTGAAATCCGCACTGTCAAGTGGCTTTCTTATCTCCATGGTATTTGAATGTAATTCTCTATATTCACTTCAGGTAGTAAGAAAAACAATAAATTGGATTCCTGACACCACTGGCCAACGCGACGTACCATAAGCAGGCATGAGGACTGAAAGTCGTCAGTGAAAGAGACTGGCGATGAAGTTACGCATCGTGAAATACACAGAAGTTAGAACTCATGGATTATCCGATTCCATCAAAATGAGTGAAAGATCGAAAAGCCTGGGTTCAATTCCCGGTAGTAGGATAATGGATGCGTCCCCTTGAAGAGTTCCAAGCTGGGTCGAAACAGGTGTCCTTTACCAGATAAATACACTTTATCACCACACATATAAAGAGGATTGATATAAGCGGACATGTCGCCAGAGTATTCAGATATATCAGAATACTGGTTCCCATATAATCAAATACATAATGTTTAACTTAGCGACACGCTCTTTAAGGTTAGTCAAAGATGAAGGAAAAACAGTATCGCTACAAAATCTCTAACAGTCTACACACCACCACCTATTTATTATTATTGTCTTCTTCTGCTCTAACATAGTATAATCATAGTCAACAAGTCTTAACGAGTTATTCAGAATATCATTAAAGTGGAAACGAAATTAACGCCTAACTCAAGAAAATATTCGCCAAAGTAACAATTATCAACACAACAACTACAAGACTTGCTTCCACTTCCAAAACTACAAAACAACCAGCTTCACTCCTCAAAATCAGATTATACCGACCGACCGACCAATGAATGAATGTCGGGTTGAGTATCTTAAGCAAGCGTAGGACTTTCAATTTAATGATGATAACCCCAGACTGTGGTACACCACCTACATTTGTGTGTTTCGCTTATTTCCCTCCCCATCAAGCCAAGCCAAGCCAGCCACAGAATAACACAGATATGCGAATGAAGTAGAATTTAGACTCCATGGTCACCTAGGTAAGCACACAAAGACAAACACACTAAGAGAAATTCTCATTTCAGCAAAGTGATATCATTCTCCACAGGTGTGAGATATCCGCTGGTTATGTATACGTTCAAATGTGCTCAATAAAACAAATTCGGTGTGGGGTGGGGTGAGGGGAGAGAGTCAAACCACGACATTATCCCCATTGAATCGTAGTTGTAGTAGTGTGGTGAGAGTCCGCTGGTTATATATGAGTCGAAATGTGGTCAATAAAACAAATTTGGTGTGGGGTGAGGGGGGGTGGAGATAGTCAATCAACGACATTATCCCCATTGAATCGTAGTTGTAGTAGTGTGGTGAGAGCTGGCTGCTATCCGAAATTGGTAGACAGTAATTTACGTCAATGTTCTCGTCCCAAATATTGGTCATGAGAAAAGAACAAGAACAGAGGCTGACTAAACTAACAATCATAGCAATAATAATGTACATGAAAATCTATAAATATGTGTTGATTTCCTTAATAGACGATTTGTGGTCATCTGTTGTTACACTTGGTGTCGCTGCCTACCGACAAAATGTAAACCTTTGTCTTGCAGTTTTTGATGGAGACATATAGATCTTCGGAGAGGACTTCGAGGCTTCTTCGCAGTTGAGTGGCGTTTAAGATCTGTCAGCGATCAGGCTGTTACTTGGGACGCCGCTGGGTGGTCATTGTCAATTCCAATGTGAAGTTTATTCCCTCTACTAGTGAGTTTTTATGTGTCAAGAAGCTAGAGATATGTTCTGTTCTGTGAGTTCTCAACTCACTCATGGAACGAAGCTGCCCACTGAGGAAATTATCTTAGGAATTCATCTATGTCTCACATCCACTATGTTTAAATTCTAAGGCAAAATATATAGACGAACAGAAGGTGTAGCAATGGGATCATCAATATCCCCAATCGTAGCAGACATATTTACGGACAGCTGGGAGAATAGCGCTCTTAATGCATTTACTTAATCCTACTCCAAAAATATGGTGGAGATATGTGGATGACACTTTCACTCACACAGTGTTGAAAACAGAACATCTCTCTCTAGCTTCTTGACACACATAAACTCACTAGTAGGGGGAATAAAATTCACATTTGAATCGGAAAACGAACAAAGAGAATTAGCTGTGATGTTGGATCGTAAAATGAAACGAGCAGAAGAGGGTAAACTACACACTGGCGTTTATAAAAAACCAAAGTATTCGGCTAATAGATATTTAGACTTTAATTCATCTCATCCTTCAACTGTTAAGGCAGGCTTAGTTAAGTTAAGTGTCTAACAAACCGAGCCATAGCACTAAGTAGCACAAAAAGAAGACCAAATGATGAAATGAAACAGAAGAAGAAGCGTTGGTGTGAAATAACTAACTATTCTTTAAAATTCATTAAGAAGATCAGTAAGGGCCAAAAGCAAACTAAAAATAATTGTGAAACTAGTAATAATAATATAAATAAGAGAGAATATAAAGCATCTACTGTTATACCATATAAGGAAGGGACATCTGAGACCCTAAGTAGGATTCTAAGTAAAACAGGAATTAGGCTGGTGGTGGCATTCAAACCTACAAACTCACTCAGATAGGATAACCTCTGTAGGCTAAAAGACCGTGTCGGTTGACGCAATTAACACAAAATAATATAATTTACAAAATACCCTGCAATCACTGTGAGTTAGGTCAACTACCTACATAGGTCAAACTAGTGGATCGGGAGTAATCAGATTGTCAGAACATAAGAATTTAGCTAAGGTAAGAATGGTTGACCTCACCCGAGAAGATAAGTAATTTAGAAGAAAGCACTCAGCACTACATTGCACTGCATGCATTAACATACGACCACACCATAGCATGGTGGGAGAGGGTTAAAATTCTAAAAAGTAATATAGGAAGGTGGAGATAGAGAGAGGTTGATTATTGAATCCTGGCTGGTTGATCGAGTCTACACCCAACACATGCAAAAGAAATGACTCATCACTTATACCGGAAATATGGAAAATACCACCACTACCAATCAAATCAAGCGAAGAAAAATAATGGAATTAAATAAACGAAGTTAGAAAGTTGTGTGAGTACCTTGATATGATTATCAGCAGCGTATAAATTGTGCTCGAAACTTGGTCATTAGTAAATATTACTGTATAACACTACACTGTGAGATTTTATCAAAATAAATTTTACCCATAATGGAATATATATTTATTCCTATCCATATATAGCACAGACGCACACACACACACACAACCAGCGGTCTTATGTATAGTGTGAACCATTCCAGGAGTGTGTACTACTACTACTGTAACAAGAGAAGACAACGGCCAGGCAGCAGATCGTTATTAAGGAAATCAAAGCATATTTATATATTTTCATGTACATTACTATGGATATGTAAACAAACAAACACAGTCTTCTGATTGGTTGTTTCTCAATCAACGTTAGTTAATCTTTCATCTATTTGTGACTGTTTCTTGAATATCAGATCATCTATGTGTTAACTGTATCCGCCTACGCAAAGTCTGCTGTGGTCGGTTTTGAATCAATCTTTGTTCACATTTTCTCACGACAAATCTTGAGAACGTAAACAACATTGACGTAAATTACTGTCTACCGATTTGGCTAGTAGACAGCTCTCACCACAGTAGTACGCACACCGGAAAGATTCACACCATACACAAGACCTCTGGATGTGTGTGTGTGCGTCTGTGCGATATATAGATAGGAATAAATAATATATTCCATTATGGGTAAAATGTCTGACACTTATAAACTCACTAGTAGAGGGAATAAAATTCACATTTGAATCGGAATATGAGCAAGGAGAATTAGCTGTGATGTTAGATTGTAAAATGAAACGAGCAGAAGAAGGTAAACTGCACACTAGTGTTTATAAAGAACCAACGCATTCTGCTAGTAGATATTTAGACTTTAATTCGCCTCATCCGTTAACTGTTAAGGCAGGCTTAGTTAAGTGTTTAACACATCCAGCAGTAGCACTAAGTAGCACAAAAATATACTTAAATGATGAAATAAAAGAGATAGAAGAAGAAGCGTTGGTGTTAAATAACTAACTATCTTATACAATTCATTGGGAAGATCAAAAAAGTTCAAAAGTAAAATAAAAATAATTGTGAAACTACAGTTCTACCATATAAGGAGGGGACATCTGAGACACTAAGTAGGATTCTTAATAAAGCATGAATTAGGGAGGTGGCGTTTAAACTACAAACTCACTCAGGTAGGACAAGCTCTGCGGCTTGAAGGACCCTGTCGGTTGACCCAATTAGACAAAATAATATTTACAAAATACCCTGCACTCACTGTGACTGAGGTCAACTACATAGGTCAAAGTAGTAGATCGGGGGTAATCAGATTCTCGGAACATAAGAATTTAGCTAAGGTAAGAGTAGTTGACCCCACCCGAGAAGATAAGTAATTTGGAAAAAAGCACTCAGGACTACATTGCACTGCATGCAATAACACACAACCACACAATAGTATGGTGGGAGAGGGTTAAAATTCTAAGAAGTAATATACGAAGGTGGTGATAGAGAGAGGTTGATTACTGAATCTTGCCTTGTTCATCGAGTCTACACCCAACACAAAACATGCAATAGGAGTGACTCATCACTCATACCGGAAATATGGAAAATACCACTACTACCAATCAAGTCATGAGATGAAAAATAGTGATGGAATTTCATAAACGAAGTTGTTAAATTGTGTGAGTAATGCCTTGATATGATTATGAGCAGTGATAAATTGTGCTCGAACCGTGTGGTCATTAGTAAATATTACTGTATAACACTACACTGTGAGATTTTATCAAAATAAATTTTACCCATAATGGAATATATATTTATTCCTATCCATATATAGCACAGACGCACACACACACACACAACCAGCGGTCTTATGTATAGTGTGAACCATTCCAGGAGTGTGTACTACTACTACTGTAACAAGAGAAGACAACGGCCAGGCAGCAGATCGTTATTAAGGAAATCAAAGCATATTTATATATTTTCATGTACATTATTATAGTTTAGTTAAGCAAACAAACACAGTCTTCTGATTAGTGGTTGTTTCTCACTCAACGTTAGTTAATTTTTCATCTCTTTGTGACTGTTTCTTGAATGTTAGATCATCTATATGTTAACTGTATCCGCCTACGCAAAGTCTGCTGTGGTCGGTTTTGAATCAATCTTTGTTCACATTTTCTCACGACAAATCTTGGGAACGTAAACATTGACGTAAATTACTGTCTACCGATTTGGCTAGTAGACAGCTCTCACGACACCACTACTACTACAACTACGATTCAATGGGGATAATGTCGTAGGTTGACTATCTCCCCTCCCTTCACCCCACACCAAATTTGTTTTATTGAGCACATTTCAACTTATACATAACTAGCTGATATCTCACACCTGTGGAGACTGATGTCATTTTGCTGAAATGAGAATTTCTCTCAGTGTGTTTGTGTTAGTGTGCTTACCTAGGTGGACATGGAGTCTAAATTATACTTGATTCGCATATCTGTGTTATTCTGTGGCTATCTGGCTGGCTGACTGACTTGGCTAAAAATATCTCACATAGCATGTGTATGGTGGGTGGGGGAGGTAAATAAGCGAAACACACAAATGTGCGTCGGTGGTGTACCACAGTGTAGTGTTATCATCATTGAATTGAAAGTCCTACGCTTGCTTAAGACACTCAACCCGACCGACATTCATTGGTCGGTCGATCGGTATAATCTGACTTTGAGGGGAGTGGAGATGGTTGTTTATAGTTTTGGAAGTGAAAGCAAGTCTTGTAGTTGTTGTGTTGATGCTTGTTACTTTGGCAAATATTCTCTGGAGTCATTAAGAGTCAATTTCATTTCCCCTCTTTGATGATATTCCGACTAACTCGTTAAGACTTGTTGACTATGATTATACTATGTTAGAGTCGAAGCAAACAATGATAAGTAGGTGGAGTGTAGACTGTTTGAGATTTTTTGTTAGCGGTACGGTTTTCCCTGCATCTATGAAAGCAGTGAACTGGGTACGGTGACTGATCCGCTCTCTTTTAAAGCCATTTTTCGATTCAACGAAGAGAACACGTCTCGCAGATCACGAACTGACATCAGCGTGGGAGCTTTAGAAAACCATTTTTTCAATGAATAGCGGTTTCGTACTTCTTTTGCACCCTTCAACAGCACTCATCTATCACCTCACCTTTGGGGAGCAAGACCATTGCCTTCCAATGACGAGGTAAGCTCGTTGAACATCCAACCATTGGAACAGATCCAATGATCAGTGAATTCTAGTTTCCGCCAGTTTGTGATGTGTACCGCAACCACCAGTGACTGACTGCAGGATCACGTTGCCTGCGACGGAACAGCTGTCCAGTACTCCTTGGCTCTCAATAGTTCTGTCAGTGATTTCAATCCCTGAAATGCCTAACTTGAAATGTTTGTTTAATTTGACAACTATTCATCCGCCTTAAGAACATTGACTAATTAATTCCTACCATGGTATAAACCGTATTATTTGTAAACTAAGGCTATGCTGTTCAAACAAAAAAAATTGACATTTTTACAAAATGCGATCGATAAAAGAAACTTAACTTACATAACTGAGTAGTTCATAGAACAACCGGCCACCAAATACATCAACGCGAGGATCAATTTGATCACAAGTTGAACCAGTACGATTTAAGTAGATGGAACCCAGTGATTTCATAAAGTTCGCCACTTGGTTGCTCATCATTATCATATAGGCAGCAATGGTTATGCGTTCCTGTGAAATATATAAGCGATGAATCACACGCTCGGAGTTATGTCTCAAATTATATCAATAATAGGTCGACCGAATAGTTCCAAAATAATTAGTCGCCGAGTGAGAAGTAAATATTTGTAAAAAAATATATTTATAAAATCTCGGCGAAATTGAAATGATTAATTCCAACGTTTCCTGCGTTCGTCAATCTGATTCGAACTTCTTCAGGGAAATTAATCAGAATTAACATAACAGCGGCGATTCCTTACCGCAAACAAACATCCAATGAGATAAAGCGAATCCTTAACGATCATGGCAACATAAGAGTGTATTTTCGTGCAACTACCACCTCATTACGCTCATCAGTGGTGAGGGTTAAGGATAAAATAGAACAAGAAAACCAGCGGAATTGTGTTTACCAGATCAACTGTAGGGACTGTAACGCTGTGTATATATGTAGAAGAAACTTCCAGACAGGTAAATGTAAGAGTGAAAGAGCATAAATAATGTCTAAAGGTGTTTGGTTCCAAAGACCTCTGCAGACTTAAAGAAGCTAGAAAACAAATCAGCGATTGCACTGCACTTGATAGAAACGGGACACGAAATCGACTTTACTAAGACTAAGGTTCTACAGAAAGGTTTTGGTTCGTATAAAGAAAGATTGACTGCTGAAGCCCTGTATATATATGGGTGAATCCCAACAGTTTGAACAGACGTGAAGGTCTGATGTTAACTGATGCATGGCAAATCCGGATTAATAAATAAAAATTGGATATATATCAACAATTAATCATACTAGGTCAAAAATTCCCGATTGTCTACGTCTTCTTATGGAGAGGCTAACAAATGTTTTGTGACTGTTTACCCACGCATATACCATTGTATACTGCATATACACACATATATTTTCATATTCAGCTATATACGACCATGAACTTTCAGTTTAAGTACACTCTGTTTAAATTGTTTAACAAAAGTAGACTAATTTTGAAAGTCTGAGGTCATATTTTGATCATAGTTCGTACAATTTTTAAAACTATTAGTTCCATTAATGAATTTAGATAAAGCAATAAGAAGACGTAATTTGTCTGAATCGTGTGTGGGATGAATTTGCACTACACATTTCGAACAATCTGATCCATCACACACACGAACTTGTCATAGGAATATACAAATGTGGAAATAATAAAGAGTTAAGAGGTGGGTGAGAAAATACACTTGACTTAGGAGGACATGTTGAAAGTGAAAATAACAATGAAGATGAATGACTAAAACAAATAACAGAGGTAATAGTATATCTATCCTGGCTGGTATCAAAACAAAGTTTACCAACAAGGAAGGTAGGTTTAGTGTAATGACGAATTGCTGCTTTCAACGCAGAGAGGTGGTTTAAACTTCCTAACTGCCAGCTACGGCTTCCACAAACTTTAGGATACGCCCTCCCCTAAACACGTCATTTTTATGTCCTGTCTCCTCTGTAATATGTTTCGCAATAGAGGTGCTAAGTCTTCGTCTGTTTTCACCATTAATGGATTCTGAAGATTCCATTTGTTTCTGGAGACATTTAGGAATATGCTGTGTAGCCAGCCCTTACTTCCAGAGATCGATGAGTCCTCCCTATGCATGGGTGTGTGTGTAGCCACACGTATATTTAAATTGGTAAATACTGTGAGAGGATGTGACATCAGTTTTCGCATGTTCAAAGGGCTTAGATGGATGGATATATTGGCTTTACATTCTCAATTATTATGATATTAGCTGCATAAAGTCTTTTTAACCACAAAGGGGTTCAATCTTTGTCTAGTTATCAAGCTGCTATGATGCCCCGCCTATATAGGGTAGGAGGCGAGTTGTAGACAGTGGGTTTTGGTGTTCCACTGACTACTTTATATCTCCTGATGATGAACTTGTCTGGATAATTGTTATCAACCAGGTACCTGTTTCATGACTCATATGATTGGACAAAGTTTTTAAAAAGAGCAAGAGATGTCCCCCTTTTCTGCATATAAACCTCTGTTATGTTAATTTCGATTAATTTCCCTGAAGAAATTCGCACCAGATTGCGACGAACGCAGGAAACGTCGGAATATAATTCATTTCAATTTCACTGAGATTTTACAAATATAATTTTTTTTTACAAATAGCTACACAATAATTTAGCCATGAATAAGTTGAACTAAGTTTATTCAAAAACGGTGCCTTTTCGAAATGAAGTTCAATTTAGTGACGTCATATTTATCACGTAATGTTATATAATGATAATAGTAATAATTTCATTGGCTTTCAGAGGAACATCGTCATTTCACTCATTCCTCTGTTGTATTTGTTAGCTATCTCAACGAGACTACCCACAAACTTTCCTCTCCTTCTTACACGACCTACTGCTACATGTCACTCTTGGACCGACTGTCCATTTGTCGTCTATTCACTCGGGTTTCAATCGACGGTCAGACTTGAACGGATGAAACTGAACTGCTTTTCTTCTTTTGCCAATATATAACGAAATTTACTGACAACGGTTTGAAAAACTTTGGGCATTGGGTGGTATATGTGATATTCAATTTAATAAAGGTTGTTTTCTTGTATTTCCCAATGAATGAAAAAGAGCAAAACGATATTGTAGCTCTTACTGACGTTTCGCTATTTAATGCTAATAGATTTATCAAAGTATTATTAAACCGGAATATACAAAATCTACTCAGCATATATACATAACAAAGAGTTAAGAGGTGGGTGAAAAAATAGACTCAGGTCGAGATAAAGGGACATGTTGAAAGTTAAAATACCAATGAAGATCAGTAAACCAAATAACAAAGGTAATAGTACATCTGTTATGATATCAAAACAAAGTTCACTAACTTGATCATCGTTCCCCAGTCGGGGGTCATTTTTCGTTGTCAAGTTGGCCAATTAGTAAAGATAACAAAACCAAGTGTAGATGACTGTTGGATTTGATCAGTATGTAAAATTATAAAAGCAGAGTGTGTTTACATAGTGAACTTGCTTATCACATTCGTGTTGATTTTGTCTTTTCATGGGGGAGGGGTTGGGGGTGTTGTAACCAGGTCAGATTCTGTTTTAGTCCGTCATTCCTATTCAGACAATTTGGATTCCACTTGATATGAAGTTCTTCTGATGACATGATACGTTCTTTGTGATTTCTGAAATGCTTTTTCTGGATGACTATTTCAATATTGTCAAAATCAATTTTGTGGCCTGATTCTATAGCGTAGCGTGTAGACGAGCTATGGCTGATGATTTTTCAAGCTTTTCTAGTTCAACCGGATTTATTTCTTGGTGGTCGAACAGATGCTCACTCTACGGTGTTCATTTCTTCTGATTTTGATTTCTCACTGGAGATGTTTGTCCGATGTATATTGCATCACATTTCAAGGAAGCATTTTATTTTATAGACACAATTCGATAGAGAATCTTTAGGGATTTGGTCTTTTATATGGACAAGGTTGTTTCGTAGTGTGCGTGTCGGATGTTTTGAAGAAAACTCTAATGTTGAGCTGATTGAGTACTCTTCTGATATCTGTCATCTGACTTCTCTGCTCTATATGGAATGACGATTGTTGAGGCTCATATTTTCGGAATGCGTTTTCGGCCATACTTAATGTCTGTGTTGATTTTGTTGATGAAGTTCCTTGGGTAGTTGTTTTGCTTGAGGAGAGTTTCAGTAATGTTTGACATCTCTTCTTCTTTTGTTTTCCCTTATCATTCGTATTCAGAGAGTGTGCTCGTCTAAGAAGACTTGAAACAACTGAAATCTCTGATAAAGCTATTAGCTGCACTATATAGCGAAACGTCAGTAAAAGCATCAACATCGTTTTGTTTTCCATTCATTGTGAAATACGAAAACCTTTATTATAATGAAATTTACTGACAGTTTAAAAATTTAAGAAAGAAGTGGGGTAGGCGATCGAAATATCCATCAACACACACACGCACACCCAAACGCATATTCACACACTCACACACACGCACACAACTTACAGGTAGGACATGTGTTTCACCATCCAGTGCAGATTTAATCAACAGTTGTCTTCCTCCTTGCCTCAATTCCTTATGCTCTGATAAATCGTCGATATTCAATACAGGAAATTGTCGAAAAAAGCCAATTTTTATGTCTTTCACTTTGGAGACTGTTGCGATGTCTAACAGGCGGTTAACTGACACATCAGGAAATTCGTCAAAAATCCAGTAGTACTTCTTCGTGATATTGGCATTCTCAAAAATCTGCAGGAAGAAAAGAATCAAAGCTGAATGCCAGCCAGTCAGTCAGCCAAACAAGCTGAAGTACTTCACGAAAATGAACTAACTAACTGTTCAAGAGTCATTTCTCACCTTGATAGTTAAGAAGTGAGCTTAACACTTATCGCGAATTGGGCAGAAGTTGTAACTCATGGGCGACTAGATTACATCCCAAAGGCTGAATGGCCTTGTAACCTGAAGGTCCTGGTTACGTCCAACCCCTAGTAGTATCATAGGTGTCTACTCCTGAAGAGTCACAAGCTAGGACGAAACAGCTCTCCTGCATTCCCTGGTTTTCAGTGCTTGTCTAACAGTTAAGACCTTATGGTTGGCAAAAGGCATTCCTGTACACCCTATACTTTTCTCTTGTTATCTCTAGTCCCAGCTGTGACAGGTCTGACCTTGACTTATTTAATCCTACCTTGAACAAGTATGCTTCTAACTGGAAGTTTTCTGACTGGTGGTGATGACTAGAAGTAGACGAAACATCCACTGTGGGGCTGACTAATCAGCTGAATGTACCTGAATTCCAGTGAGTGATTATGTTTCCAGTGTGATTTAAGACGCTCTCGTTTGAGGCACTGTAGCGTTGTGTTATTGAGTGGGACGGACCACATACACGTGCATTGAGCTGTTCAGACTTGACTAGGATGAATTGTACATCTTAGGCTCCACCCACTTTTAGCCAACAAAAAGCCCACATGGACTGGACAATTCATCAACTTTCAAAGCTTTGTGCCTCTAAGCAGAAAGAGAAACCTGATATACACTCTTTTCCGAGGATTCGGAAGATATGCAGCGAGGAGGTGATTGATGAAGAACTCAGTTATCTCCGCAGAACCCTGATGGAAAATAGTTTTCCGCCTAGGTTCATAGACAAGAACCTTAAATCAAACAAGACTTCCGAACAAGTTCAATCCGTCCAGAAGAAGAAACTTCAGCTTAATCTAGAATTCAAAGGTGATACTGAAGCAGAAATCCTTCGCAAACGCCTCTGCAGATCTCTGAGGAAAACATACTTCACTGCGAGCCTACGCTTAACGTTTTCCTGCAAGAAACTGTTCAGCCAGAACGCAAAAGACAAGCTGTCGCACTGGACCACTTCAACGTGCATATATCAGTTTACTTGCTCTTGCTACTGCGGAGCTGAGTACATCGGCCGTACCATGCACCAACTTGAAAAACGCGCCCGTGAACCTGGCTAGTAAAATGAGACCAAAAGCGTGTATATAGTTCAGTGATAGAACATCTGGTCAATTCAGGACATTCAGCGCCATTCGAAAAATCCTTCAAAATAATATATAAGATTCGATCAAACCTATCAAAGGGAGTGAAATTAAGACATCTAGGCATAGCCGAGGCACTAACCATCAAAAATCTAAAATCAGTGAGTCATCTGGTCAATAGTCAGTCAGCTGCCACTTATAGCCTATCCAGTAACTATAAAGGTGCTTGATTAATGTTAAAGTAGCCCCTCTCAGCGTTTTCACAACACAGAATAAAAACAAATAGGTAGCATTTAGAGTGACAGTGCCAAGTTCTTGGTAATAAGCACCAGTAATCCAACATCAGTATATTCCATATTAGTTTGTTTATTAGATGTATCACACAGTGAATGTAACAGTATCAGCATTTACTGGATGACAAAGTCTCGAACACAATTCATTATAGCTATTCATAATCATATCAACAATTATACTCACATGACTTCGAAACTTGAGTTTTACAGTTTTCTTTGTCCTCTCCTATCTGTCGTCATTGGGGTAGTAGAATTTTCCAGATATCCAACTGGACAGGTGTTGAATCATTCCTATTACACGAGTTGATTTGCAGTTGATTCGATAAACAAAGCTTCTGTTATCAATCTCTCCCTCGCTCCACCCTGTGACACTAAATTTCAAAACTGTCATCCTATCCCATCCAGCCTATTGTATGGTTGTGTGTAATTGCATGTAGTGAGTACTATAGCTGAACTATTCTCTAGATTTCTTATCTTATTCGGGTCAACTAATCTAGATTTTGCTGTTAGGTGTTTATGCTGCTCGGCTAGTCTGATTCACTGACTGACCCTGTTCTACTACTTTGACCCATCCATGTATCTGACCTGACAATCATCTCAGGTAGGGTATTAGATAAACTAAATTGTTTTATTTTGAAGGCTACACAGGATTGATCCTTTAACCGACAAAGTCAGTTTCTAATTGAGTTTAAGGTTGGTTTGAATTCCAGCCACTTTTATTCCTTCCTTGTATGGAATTACTACTGATGATTTAGATTCCTTATTGTTGGTGTTGTCTTGAGCATATTTGACATGCATGTCGTCATTATTATTATTATTACCATTATTATTATCACTATCATTACTATCATTATTTATTTGATTTTTACATTTCCTTACATATTTCCTGACTAATTTATCAGGGTAATTATTAAGTCTCAAGGCTTCTCTTATATGTCTCACTTCCTGCCTTAAATTTTCCTTGGTACTCCTTAGATTTTGTGCTCTGTTGTCGCTTATACATTTCACCAATCCTATTTTTGCTGACATAGATAGGATGGGATGACTGGAAATCCAAATATCTGTTTGAATGTGTGGGTTTCCTGAAAACACACACTAGCGTGTTTAACTTCCCATCTTCTTTCCTTTTTACTCTGCAATCTAACATTGAAAGTTCCTCTTGCTGACTTCCCAATTCACAAGTGAATTGAATTGGCTCCATCTTTGAGTTAGCTAATGTGTTCAAAAAATCTCTCTATATCTTGTGTTCTAAGTACAGTGAATGTGTCATCTACCTCATACCTCCACCATACTTTTAGGGTGGGTGGGGATGAACGTTTCAATCGCTATGTTTTCCCACCTATCCATGAATATATCTGGCACAACTGGGGATACTGGTGATCCCATGGCAACTCCCTCAGTTTATTTTGTATATTTTCTCTTGGAGGAATTTAAATACTGTGGAAGTCAGGCATAGCAAGCTGCACTTCCAGCATTATGTCAACATCATCAGTGTAACCTTGTCATCACAAACACACACACACAATCAATTGCAAATTCTTTTTACATCAAGATGATGGAATTTTACTTCACACTCATCAGAGACAGAGAAGAATCATCAATGCTGAGCTTACTTACCTCCTTAAAAGAATCTAAATGACGAGAGTATTTCGTATGCACTACGAATATATGCGTTGCATAGGATTTTGCAATAACATCATCGCTTGATTTACCGCCTTTCAGTGTTCTGATAAACTCACTCAGTGTAATTCGATTAGGCGTATTGGAGACATACACAGGATTGTTGCTGTTGGTGTTGTCACTGTTGTCGACGTCGTCGCGTCTTGTGAACAGTTGTGTGGAGAATTCAGTGTAAAATCTTTCGTTTTCAAGTTTTCTTTTCATTGTCAAGTCGGCTATCTCATGGATTACAGCTGAAGATAAGAAAGTTACAGATATGGAAGGAACCATTATACATCTACAACCAAAGTGATATTACTGCCCATAATAATAATAGATTATTATCATTGTTCCCTTGGGTTCCTAGTGGAACATAGGGCTTCAACTGCATGTCTCCACTTGCTTCTGTCTTCTGCTGTACTGTACTTTTCACCTGCATCCATGTTAGTCCATACTGTTTCAACCCTCCTCTTCACACGATCTCCTCCATGTCACCCTTGGAGACACGACCCACTACTCGCCGCTTCCCTTTCGGGTTCCACTCGAGCGATGGCCTGACGCCCGATGTCACCCAGCGGCCTCCTCAGTGAGTGTCCAATCCATCTCCTCTTACTTTCTCCTGCGTATTTGTTGGGCGGCTGGTTCTTGTTTTGTTTGTTTGTTCCCATAGTTTCTTGTTGGTTCTTGTTCTTTCCGGCCATCTGATCTTCAGTATGATGCTAGCGAAGACATTTGTTGTTGTTGATAGAGGTCTGCAACAGGCTGTTGGAAATATTCTTTGTGACCCACCGCCAAGTTTCTGATCCGTATAGAAGAACTGACTGACTTGACGTTTGTATTGAAAATCCGAATTTTGTTGTTGAGTGTTGCTGAGTGACGAAGATTTCCAGATTGGTTTCAGGTTGATGAATAGATTATAGATGTCCATTAAAATCTTAAAAACCTGATGATTTCTGAACAAAGAATACTCCTTACGACTTCTTCCTCTTCAGGCACACTAAAGTTACGCATCCATCCATAAAAAATACGAAAAAGACAGGATTAGTGTGGTAGGTAAGCTATCCGAATATCAACCTCAAACTAACTGATGGCCACTACTGCACAGATGAATGTACTCGACCTATACTGAGGAGTCGTGGCCAGTGAAGTCACTTACTTTCAGGGTAAAGTCAACGCACAAGGAAGAGCTACGATTAGGTGGTAAGACGTCTTTCAGTTTCGGGATGAACATTGGCTTAGCTAGTGAAGGCTAGGAAGAGATGTACAGAGTAGAAGGTGTTCTTTGTCGCTGTGGTTTGACGTTAGAATAGAATCTTCGTAGGAGTATCTATCACCCTTGAATTGCTGCTAGTTCATACTGGCAACCATTATAGCCCTATGTTGGCTTTTATAAACTTCTCTGGATATCCGTTTTCTCTTAGAATACCCATTTACTTTATCACTCTATAACGACTTCCATGGAAGCATCGTTTCAACCACAGCTCACGTGGCGGAACGGATTAAGATGTCACAGCGGGCCAGCCAGAATCGGAAAGACAAGATATGCATGCCTTCATCAACGCGTCTAAAACCAGTTTGGAAATCTTCTGCACTGCACTCAGCCAACATCAAGAATTAAACTCGGATTTTCAACACACAAGTGTTAAATCGGTGAGAAAATTGGCGGAAAGCACTACGGAAAGCATTTCTAACAGGTTACAGACTTTTATCTTGACAACTGCCTTCACTGGATTCATATAGAGAAGATAAAATGGCCAGCCGACTGTCCAGAAAGAATTAGCAACAAGAAGCTCTGGGAATGGACTAACCAAGAAAATGGAGATAGATCGGGCAAACACTGAGGAGACGATCCAATATCATTCCTCGAAATGCAGGCCATTGCTTGAGTGGAAGGAATCCCAATAGGAAGCGAGAGACTAGTAGTTCGTTGGTGCGAGGGTGACACGGAAGAGAGGTCATTTGGAGAAGAGGAGGAGATGAGAGATTATGGTCAATCGTGGTGTTAGCCAGTTGAATAGGAGAGGGCAGACAATCGAGAAGAAAGTCGAGATGTGTTGTTGAAGCCAGCCGCCCTATGTCTCCCACTCGGAACTATCCACCGGATAACTAACTGGCAATCACTTTAGTTATACGTGCTATATTTCTTAGCTATAAGAACCTGGAGAGAGAATTTACTGAGAAGATGAATATTGTTCGTTCAGATTGAAGGTTAACTAACTGAAACGATTGATAAAACTTCCGTATTTAGGTGGGAGGTGGGTGCGGGGGTCCACTTTGTTTCACAATAGTGTCTTTCGCCTACTTCATGCGATTTTATTGGATGAATTTTGATGTGGTTGTGTTCTCTGAGCTGGATAGTTAATGTGTGAAGGTTTCATCGCCCTACTAGGCAGGTGACATCTTCCTTCAGCGCATACACTTCAATTTGAATTGAAGTGAGCTTTCACATTTCTCCACGAGTTTATCAATAATCTATCCTCGTCGGTGACCACCTTGGAAGTGATTGCTTGTTTTTGTATGTTTTCACACCATCTAGGTTACTTGTATTGGAATTGATTGTTTCTTTGACTTGAACTTTGACCCTTTGTGTGAGGTTTCTTTCTTGTCGGTTGATAAATTTTGTCTATCTCGATGTGTCTAGTGATTGATGATTCACCGGAATACCAATTAGGCTTCTAAACATTCTCTAGCATTCTTGTTGTTTCCTCTATCTAATATTTGAAGGTTGGTTGTCCCAGTCGAATTGATGTCTGTGGTTGTCTGTATGCAGTGAGGTGATATGAGCGAGGGAGTGGATGTCATGTGTTCTGACGGTTAGCTTATGTTCGTGGATACGAAGACGAAGAGTAGGGACGTCCACTTTGGCCAATGTAGTGTTTTTCGCAGTTGATACAATTTATTTTGTAGATGATGTTGGTTTTATCTTTCGTTGTTGAGTCTATCTTTTGGTTGACATAGAGCCAGCTGAGTGAAGTGATTTTGTTGTTTTCTGTGGGACGTCAATTCCTAACAGTTTGAAGAGTCTCGCAGTGATTTCTGAGATGTTCATTATATATGGTAGGGAGAATTTCTTTGTGCTTTCCTTGAGAGCTTTTGGTTTGATAGGTTGGCTTGGGGGTATTTGTCTTTTGATGAAATCCCCTGGATATCCATCCATTCTTCTGGAAGACGTCCATGAGATATCTTTCTTCAATTTTCCTTAAGATGGGAGTGCTGGAATGATTCCTGACTGGCTGACCCTCTTGAATAGTGTTTGTATGTAATTCCTCGTGTGCTACTGGATTGTTGCTGTTGTAATTCAGTATTTAGTCTGTGTGATTTAATTTTCTATAAACTTGATTTTCTAACTCTCCGGTGGTTGTTCGCTTGACTAAGACGTCCAAAAATGGGATTTGGTACTCTGATTCCTCTACTCTTGTGAATTTGATGTTGTTGAAGACGTCGTTTATCAGGTTGTAAGCTTTATTTAACTCGTTTCTTTTGATAATTAGAAATTTCAAACAGAATTCCTGCTTTTCAGGACATTATTATTACAGACGTTGAAGACTAACTGGTACACACAAATGATGAAGGTACTTTTTATATTCCACCATGAAGATGGTAATTCAACTTGTGTTAGGTTGGTTAGCTGGTGGATTTGGCGACATATATTGATTGATATGGAGTCTGCAATTAGTAGTGTTCTCTGAAGAGCTGGTTGGTTTAGTTGCGGAGCTTTCGTCGTACACCCCCCACCCCCTGGCTGGACAACATCCCCCTTCAGCGCAATTTTTAGCATAAAGTGAAGTGATTTAAATTTTTTCAATGAGTGGTGATAGAATTGCGTCTTCTGGTAACCATCTTTACGTTTGTGCATTGATCATTTTCTGTTGATTTGGATTTTAAACTTTCTCGTCACATGATTTACTTTTTATTATAAAACACAAAAGGAATGAGCAAAGAATATCTTTTTCGATAAATTTCTCTTCTGGCTCTACAATTATATTTGCATGTTTATATACATTGAAATAAAAACGCAATCTGATAAAGTACTTGGATGAATGTCTTGATGAGGAACTTAATACTATTAAACGGCTGCTGAGTGAATATGGTTATCCAGAAAAGTTTATTGATAAGAATATGAATCTAAATTCAAGGAAGTCCAAGGTACCAACAGTTCCGAAAAAGGAAGCCCTTATACTTACAAATGCAGTCAGTTGCTTGGGGACAACATCAGCAAGATACTAACACAGCGCCTTGGAAATTAGGCAGTAAAAAGAGCATTCAGTGTTGCTTCCGAATTACGCTGTGTCTTCAAAACCACTCCTCACTCTTGCGTTCTTTCGGGAGTAAAAGACAAACTGCCTAATTTCGCCTCTTCCATGTGTATATACCATTTAAACTGCCCCTGTGGAGCCAGATACATAGTCCGTACAATTAGGCGTGTTTCTCGTCCAATTTTCGAACATTACAGTGGTTGGTTGGTTAAGTAAAGGACAAACAAAATCTATTCACAGCGCTATTCTTGTGAATGCAGAACACAAGACTGATTGATATTAACAAGATGGCTTTTAGGGTCATTTACCGCATACCTACGAATCTCAGTTTTGCCTTAACAGTTCGACTACTAAATATTGCTGACGCTGGCTGGTCGTCGGGATCCATATAAAGAAGCCTAAATTGTGCGTCCAAAAGAAGTTGGCTGGTTCGGACATTATCCTTACCTGCTTGGCCTTCTGGGTTGAATGATCCTGCATTTTTGTGGAATTTTCCGAATTTCAGTTGATATTCTATTTGCTATTATATCTTTATTATTATTATTATTGTTTAAGCATCTTTAATGAACTGTGGTAATTCCGTTGTGATCTTACTTTACAAATTGATATTATTTAAAAAGCACACACTAATATTGTTATTGACTACTATTCTAGAATATTCTATGTATATAAACATGCATATATAGATATAATTGTAGAGCCAGAAGAGGAGGAATTTATCGAAAAGGATATTCTTTGCTGGCTCAATTATATTTTGTGTTTTATAGATGTCTGAATGAATATTTTTGCTATATTTTTTATTCGTTGGTATATTTAGTCTATATTAACCTGCTTGTTAATTGCATATTCGTTTGAGGACCACCAGGCTTCTAGGAATTCCCTGACTGCACTTTTGGTGGTGTTTCCTCTGTCTAAAATTTCGACATTATCCCAGTTATCAAACTGATGTCCATATTTATGTATATATGCATTGATATGAAACAGGAATATATATATATATATCATGTCTTTCCATCACAGCTGATTTGTGTTCCTGGATGATTCTGATTCGACACCCTGGGGGGGGGGGACGCCCACTTCGACCACCGATATAATGTCTGTTACAGTTCATACGTGCAATTTATTTTGTAAATGGTATTAATTTTCAAGTATTAGTTTGTAGGGATTCGGTTGGTTAAAGGATTTCATCATGAGCCGACATTGGTTAGACAACCATTGGAAAACATACCACAGGAGGTACTGGACAGCTGTTTCCACCGTCCTAGTTTGGGACTCTTCATCAGTACGCACCCATCGCCAGAGTTTGAACCAAAGACCTTCCAGTTACAAACCTAGCGAGGTCGTAGACTATTAGGCCACTGGGACCCGATCCAATGGCCAGTCCATAAATTCTAACTTCTGCCAATTCACGATATAGCACAACTGCTAGCCAATGTCTTCATTGACGAGTGTTTATCCTCACGCCCGACGTGCTGCAGCCTAATGGTCACGACTTCTCACTAGAACCCACCCAGGTAACTACCTATCTGAATAGTATTAATTTTATCTTCCTTTTTCTGTTGGATGAGTCTTTTGGTGAGCACAATATCCATGACTGAAATGATTCAGAGTTTCTTCTTCTGCCTTCTCCTTCTTTCTTTGTTGCCAAGAGAAAAACGATTGTTAGTCATAAAAGGACAAGAGAAGGACAATCGCTAACCTGTTGATGGATCATAATCAGCTAAAATTAGTGCATGTGAAACACGCTCCAATTCGCTGATCGCTAGAAACGCCTTCGCCATACGATGTGCATCCATCTGGATCCATATTGTTGTTGTTGGCGGTGGTGTTTCTCTAGTTTTGATTGTTGTAGGCTTCTTCTTCTGTCTGCATGCTGGTCTCGGTATTGCAATATGCAGTAGATGGTAACGATACGCCTCCGCTTCGAGATATTCAGCTATCCAGCAAGTTGTCAGACTGACAATCACATGGACACCACTGTTGACGAGTTCACATACTATCAATAGACGGAAGGAAGGAAGGAAGGAAACAGACATCAAAATAAGTGCTCAAAAAATGTTTAATCCTTATTAATGTATGTGTTAAACTTGGGCAATGTGGTGGTAGTAAGTAATTCCGTATTTGTTTGTTTATTAGATGTATCACACAGTCAGTGATACAGTATTAGTGTTTAGTGGACGACAAAGTTTCGAACAAAACTTATTGTTCATAATCATATCAGTTGTAATCACACGACAGTACTTAAATTCCTCCAAGGGAAAATATACAAACAAACTGAGGGAGTCGTCATGGGATCACCAATATCCCCAATTGTAGCAGACATATTCATGGATAAGTGGGAAAGCATAGCGATTGAAACATTCACCGACCGCCCACCCCAAAAGTATGGTGGAGGTATGAGGTAGATGACACATTCACTGTACTTTGAACACAGGATATAGATAGATTTTTCGAATACATTAACTGAAGAGGGAGGCAATTTATCAATTCACCTATGAATTGGAAACACACACATTCAAACAGATATTTGGACTTCCGATCATCCCATCCTATGTCAGTAAAAATAGGATTGGTGAAATGTTTAAGTGACAACAAAGCACAAAACTAAGTAGTACGAAGGAAAATCTGAAAAAGGAAGTGAGGCATTATAAGAGAAACCTTGAAACTTAATAATTACCCTGATAATTTAGTCAGGAAATATGTAACGAAATGCAAAATTAAAATAAATAATGATAGTAGTGTTAGTGATAATAACAATAATAATAATAATAATAGTGATAATAATAATATTAATAACGACACCAACAAAAGGAATCGAAATCATCAGTAGTAATTCCATACAAGGAAGGAACATCGGAAACCACCTCACGCAGAATTAATAACAAGGCAGGCAGGAATAAAAGTCGCTGGAATTCAAACCAACCCCAAACTCAATTAGAAACAAGCTTTGTCTGTTAAAGGATCAATCCTGTGGAACCTTTAAAACAAAACAATTTAGTTTATCTAATAGCCTGATTGCGATGATTGTCAGGTCAAATACATAGGTCAAACTAGTTCAACAGGGGCAGTGAGTCAGACTAGCCAAACATAAAATCCTACCAGTAAAATCTAGATTAGTTGGCCCGAATAAGATAAGAAATCTATAGAATAGTCCAGCAGCTATCTCAAGCACTACATGCAATCACACACAACCATACAATAGGCTGGATGGGACAAGATGACACTTTTTAAATCTAATGTCACAGGTTGGCTAGTGAGGAAGATTGATAACAGAAGCTTTGTTTATCGAATCAACTGAGAGAGAATACGTGTAATAGGAATGATTCAACACCTTTGCACTCAGATATTTGAAAAATTTTACTACCCCTTCAACAAATAGGAGAAAACAAAGAAAGCTATAATGCTCAAGTTTCAAAGTCGTGTGATTACAATTGATGTGATTATGAACAATAAATTTTGTTCGAAACATCATCCAGTAAATACTAATACTCTTTCACTGTGTGATACATCTAATAAACTAACAAATATGGAATTAATAATTACGAAAATTGATAGAGACTCTGGATACATAGATAAGATGAATGAAATACTCAGTGATCATGGAAAATTTCAAAAAATTGCATCGCTTAATTCGATATTACACAAACCGAAAGATCCAACAGAAAAAGGAGATAAAATTAACACCATTTACAAAATAAATTGTATGAGCTGTAACAAGCATTACATCGACCAAAGTGGGCGTCCCCAGGGCATCGAATTAGAACCCAAGAACACAAATCAGCCGTGAAAAGACACGATATATATTCTTTAGTATCAATGCATATAGACAATTATGGTCATCAATTTGATAACTGGGATAATGTCGAAATGTTAGACAGGGGAAACACGAAAAGTGCAGTCAGGGAATTCCTAGAAGTCTGGTACTCAAACGAAATTACAATCAACAAACAGGTTAATGTAGACGAAATATACCAACTAATAAAAAGTAAATCATGTGACGAGAAAGTTTAAAATACAAAACAGTAGAAAATGATCAATACACATATGTAAAGATGGTTACCGGGAAACGCGATTCTATCACTCATGAAGAAATTTAAACCATTTCACTTTATGCTAAATATTGCCTTGAAGATGTTGTCCAGAAGGACGACGAAAGCTTTGGAACTAAACCAACCAGCTCAGAGAACACTATTAATTGCAAATTACATCTTCCGTTGATCCGATAGGAAAAATGGAGAAACAACTAATTGAGTCACTAAACTGAAGTTAGTTTGAATTGCAAAACAGAAATCTCAGTCGGCGTTAAGTTTAGCGGTTGTATCCTCCTATTTCGGGTACACGTTATTAAACACCACAATGAACTTAACGATAAGTAAGTAGAACAATCGTCTGTCGTTTGAATCTATGAAATCTGGGTGATGATACGATGGGAAGACTCGCCTTTCTGTTTAGCTTCTCATCTTACTCTGCTGTACTACTTGGTATTGTTCAGAGTTCACTAGGATCAATGAAGATGTCGATATATGTCTGTTTCTTTCAGTTGCTGCTTGGAGTTGAATTATATACCACAAAAAATGTTAACCACAACACGCATGCGTTCCCATAGCAACACCAATGAAATGCCAACAATTCCAGCCGACATATCTGATAACTGCATTCCTAAAAAAACGACACTTACTGTGAGCGATCACATTTTCTTTCTTTCTTTTTTTGCCTGCCTGCCTACCTGCTTTACCCTTCTCATCTCAGTTAGTTCCCAGGCAAAGGAATGAATGAATGAACCCTACTCACTCACCTTGATTGATATAAAATTTCTCCACTGTAAATTTGAATTTCTGAGATGTTGACAAGGAGGAGGAGGAGGAATTCCCTGTTGAAATGTCCGTGTAATGTTCAAGGATTGGCGGCTTCAATACTTCCTCAAATAATCTGGGTATTGTATTGTATGTCGACTGATCGATGACTGATCCATCGTCGTATATGACACCTAGATAGAGTTGGGAAAACAGAGGTTACTCCATTATGGATAAAATTTTATTTTAATAAAAAGTCACACAGTGTTATACAGTAATATTAACTGATGACCACACGCTTCGAGCACAATTTATCATTGCCACTCATAATCATATCAAGTCACTCACTCACTCACACAATGTTTTCCCTTCATTTATATAAATGAGTGGAATTGACATAAGAGAGAATATAAGTCATCTTCTGTTGTACCATATAAGGAGGGGACATCTGAGACATTCCCTAAGTAGGATTCTTAATAAAGCAGGAATTAGGGTGTTGGCATTCAAATCCACAAACTCACTCAGGTAGGAAAAGCTCTGTAGGCTAAAAGACCCCGTGGACCCAATTAGACAAAATAATATAATTTACAAAATACCCTGCAATGACTGTGAGTGAGGTCAACTACATAAATCAAACTAGTAGGTCGGCAGTAGTCAGATTGTCGGAACATAAGAATTTAGCTAAGGTAAGAATGGTTGACCCCGAGAAGACAAGTAATGTAGAAAAAAGCACTTAGCACTGCATCGCACTGCATGCATTAACACAACCACACAATAGCATGGTGGGAGAGGGTTAAGATTCTAAGAAGTAATCTATGTAGGCGGAGGCAGAGAGAGAGGTTGATTACTGAGTCCTGACTGGTTCATCGAGTCTACACCCAACACAACACATGCAACAGAAATCACTCAATGCAAATACCAGCGAAATGCATGGAAGATATTATTACCACCAGTCAGTCAGTCAGTCAAATCAGAGGAGGATGATAAATAATCTCAAATTGTATTCTATTTCAATTCAATTCACGTACATCATCACAACATTCTAACAAGATACTCACCTATTTTGACTACAGAAAAAACACTCGTCTTATTTCCCATCTGATTGTCATTGATCAATAACACTCATATTATTATTATTATTTCTGAATGTACATTATCTCATATTACTGATTTGTATTCAAATGTCTAATCATGAATTCTACTCATGTATATAAATGAAGGAAGACGAAAGTTGTGTGAGTGAGTGAGTGACTTGATATGATGATTATGAGTGGCAATAATAATTTGTGCTCGAAGCGTGTGGTCGCATCAGTCAATATTACTCACTGTATAACACTACACACACTGTGTGACAGTTTATCAAAATAAAATCTGATTCATAATGGAGTAGTTATACTCTACCACCACAGTGCCCAAGTTTTATTCTTACATCAATAAAACAGAGGGGTCAGTTGTGAATTCAGACAGAGAGATAGACAGAATGGGATAGACAGTTCTCATACAAAATATAATTCACGCCTTATCAAAGAGATACAAGAGGTGTAGAATACACTTAGAGAAATATAGCCATTTTGATGTTGGAAAAGACGTCAGCTCGAGCAGGCGCTGTTCGGGAGAATATTTTCCTTTACCCAAACTGACTATAGAAACTTCAAAGCACAAGAAAAATATTTTTGTTAGTGATAGATAGATATTAGTGATCATGCGACGATCATGAAGATACGAGTCGTCTATTAGAGATAGACTTAACTCTGTACGGAATCATATTATTAGTCTTACATGCGAGGAACAAAAGTCGAGTGCAACCAGCTTGGATTTTTAGACATACACTTCTGAGTCGAAGAGATGATGGTTCGGTTCAATAAGGCGATCATCAATCTACAGAAAGCCCACTTCGACAGGGCAGTACCTTAATTTTCACAGTTTCTGTCCATTACAGTATATAAGAGAGGCTTGGTGAAATGTCTGTTTAAGAGGATTCAACGTATTTGCATGGCTGATTTTATAGACAAAGAAAATGAAATATTGATGGATAGATACTCTTGTTGAAAACAGGGATATCCTTTAAAATTTTTAAACAGGTGTAGAAGTCAATTAATTAGTCTCCACAATCTACCTACAATCTATACCGCCCCTAAGAAAAATGTTTTCATCAAATAACCATATAATGGGTTAAATAAACAGTAGGATTTTGAGACAATGGTGTTGAATTCGATTATCCGTAGAACGTATTATGCAGCCCAGCTTGTAATTGTCGAAAAAGCTAAAAATATGCTCCACTGCAAACCTCAAAAGTGCACAAGTGATTATGTCACATCCCACACTATTTACAAATTTCCTTGTGTGTGTGTGTGGACATACATACTTAGGGAGGAGTAATCGTGCTTTGCATGTGAGGATGGGACAGCGAGCATATCCGAAAATGGTTAGAAAAACAGATGAATTGTGACAAGCCAATAGATGCAGGTGTCAGACTATCAACTTCGTCTATAGTTGAACATCTAATCGAGATGAACCATGAAGTTGATGTTAACTCAGCCTTTAAGGTCATCTATAAAAACGGTCAAGGGCGCTGATTGAAATACGCCAAGGATATAGCTATTCATAAACTTAAGCCTCCCTTGTGTATTCAAAAACATTTTATTATTACTCTTAACCTAATTGGTGGATGGTGACTAGCAGTGGAATCCAGGATAACGCACGTTCCGTCCTTTTTGGGGCTCGTCAGCTAACTGGATGTACCTGCATTCTCCAGTGAGTCAGTGATGATGTTCCCCCCGAGGCTCGAATCCAGTGGCCATAGTTTCAAACGCCATAGCGTTATCCACTAGACCACTCGGGCCACGAGAGCCACCTTTTGTGCAACGGGTCATAATAATTCAATTTAATTTTAGATTTTCCCGCCGAAGTGCACGGTCTCAGGTTGACATGTCTATTGGCGCAGGTGGTACATACTACTAGAGCTTCCAGATGGAGAGGATAATCGAAGCACTTCACTGGGATCTTGAATGCGGCTCTCCGTAATGCAGCAGACATCGATAGCGAGGCTTTCCAATGTTTTTGCCAACCCTGCCTGTTGTCCGATTTGCATCAGCGTTCGAACATTGTAGGTGGCCAGCTGGAACGCGGCACGCCGTTTCAGGATATCTGTGTTAGATGTCACATTGGGGACAACCATTTTCAAGGTTACTTACTCACTAAAATCTCGAAACGGTACAGATAGGCTGGGAATCCAGACAAAGGTGAAAGGCTGTCGAAGGTGAAGAAGTCAAGGTGAGCAAAGGTAAAATACAGGAGTCTATGTATAAAAATAAAAGTAAGGTTGGAAAGAGATGTGTTACTTGAGACATCATTATTGCTTGAACGCATTGTTACGAGCGCGCGATAAGTTCCACTGATAGTTTGTTGCTTCATTTCATTTATTGTGTGAGGGCTGAGATACTGCCCGGGTGCCCAGACCGAAGCAGGTGGTTTTCTTAAGGGACCACCCTCGCCGAGCCTTTGACTTGGAGTCTAATCCGCAAGGCAGAGAAGCAGCGTCAGGAGCTACATTCCCATGGTTTTCGGTGACCAATATGGGTTCATACACCATTTGATCCGATTGGATTCTGGAGCCCATGCACCGCATGGTGGTAACTGCTTTTAGTCTAACCGCTATCCAAATAACCTTCCTGGCATGGTAGGACCTGTAGGGACATGAGTCCCAGCCAGTTAAGCTTGTTGGGTCACTGCGGTATTCAAGCCCCCCGAGCACCACGGCAAGGTGGCAGTTGTCGGCTCGATTGAAAACCGAAACGGAAGCGGCGAGTTGGTCATCCAAGGGTAAGGGTGACTTGGAGGAGGTCATATGAAGAGGAGATGATGAAAGCATGTGGGCAGACGCGTGGAGCCAGGTGAAAACTTTAGCAGAGAACCGAACGCAATGGAGACGTTTGGCTGAAGCCCTATGTTCCTCTAGGAATTAAAGGAAACAATAATAATAATATGTTAACTCCAAGAGGACTGAAGTTTCTCCACACTCTCACTGGTAGTATCAGTGGTATATGAAATAAGCAGCAAGTTAATAGTAGAGAGAGAAAAATTTTATGTGGGAACACTCACACTATCTACTTCTACTTCTACTACTTCTCCGGATCATCACCTCATCATTTCAGTAATCAAAAGACAACAACAGTGAGTGAAATTATGTCAATAATTTTACTTACTCACTCACTTACTTACCAACATGCCATTCCCCATCCGAATCAACCGTAACTGACATGAACAGGAGAAAATTTAAGAAGTAGCCGAACGGAGAAGCAGAGCGCATATTTCATCCTTGGAGTTGAGTTTCACTCAACAATTATATATATATATATCCAATGAGGTGACCCTTTGACCTATATTAATATAAATTTATTAGCATATTTTTGAGAAAGCAGAATTATTATTTATGAAACTGGCATGATGAAGACCGCCTTTTTCATTCTCTATGAAGTCTCCATAGTAACGGAGGGGAATACAAATAAATCAACTTTTGTTTGTTTTTTTAACGGAGTAGATCATCGACCTCATCCAAGACATAAATTACAATTACTACACTATTTATCTGGAAAGTATTCAAAGGGAATGATTTATGAGCATTAGGATTTTCAAGGGATTTCACTGATTGGTTTGTTACAGGATTTCATCATATGAGCTGACACTGGTTGGTTAGAGAACCATTGGAAAACCTGCCACTGGGAGTATTGCACAGCTGTTTCCTCCGTCCTAGGTTTTGGGACTCTTCAACAGTAAGTACCCACCGGGGTTCCAAGGCGATCGCGTAGACCATTAAGCCATTTATAGCCGATCCAATGGCCAGCCCATGAAGTATAACTTCTGCCAATTCATGATATAGCGCGACCGCTTTGTAATGTATTCTTCGATGAGCAACCGCCTCACCTTCAACCTGCTACGTGCTACTGGTCACAGCTTCCCACTAGAACCCCAGGTTACTGCCTACCTGAATAGGACCAGTCGCTTGTGAGCGTCTGATTAAATTTTTTTTCAAACATTGGTTTTGTACAAAACCAATGTCATGAATCGGCAGAAGTTAGAATTCATGGGTCTCACTGGCTTGATGGTCTACGAGCTAGCTCGCCTTGTAACCAGAAGGTCCTGGACTCGAACCCCGGTGAGTGCGTACGAATGAAGAGTTGCAAACTAGGACGGAGGAAACAGCTGTGCAGTACTCTCAAGTCTTTCTCTCAGTTTCCTAATGCGGACAGATGATCTGAGTATAAAGTAATATGAATAGGGTAAAAAGAAATATTCAGACATTAGTCTAAAAGGGTAGACAGTGAAATGCTTAGAAAATATCACTTTGAATTATTCAAATGTATTGAGAATAAGTGGTTAAATATGTCCAAACCAAGTTCACTTTTAACAGTTTGAAAAAATTTGGGCATTGGGTATATGATATTTGTTATAATAAAGGTTTTTGTATTTCCCAATGAATGAAAAACAAAACGATGTTACTGTTTTTACTGACGTTTCGCTATTTAATGCTAATAGCTTTATCAAAGTACTATTAAACCGGAATTTACAAAATCTGAGAATATATATAACATAGAGTTAAAAGGTGAGAAAATAAACTACTTAGGTCAAGTTAAAAGGAGGACATACTGAAAGTCAAAATAACAATGAAGATCACTAAATCAAATAACAGAGGTAATAGTACATCTAATCTGGCTGGTATCAAAACAAAGTTTACTAACTTGATCATCGTTCGTCAGTCTGGGGTCATTTTTCGTTGTCAAGTTGGCCAATCGGTAAAGATAACAAAACCAAGTGTAGATGACTGTTGGATTTGATCAGTGTGTAAAATTATAAAAGCAGCATGTGTTTACATAGTGAACTTGTTTATCACATTCGTGTTGATTTTGTCACTTCACAGGGGAGGAAGGTGATGTACCCAGGTCAGATTCTGTCTTAGTCCATCATTCCTATTCAGTTCAGACAATTTGGATTCCATTTGATATGAAGTGCCTCTGATGATATTAGACGTTCTTTGTGATTTCTGCAGGTTTTCTGGATTATTTCAATATTGTCGAAATCAATTTTGTTGCCTGATTCTATCGCGTAGCGTGTAGACGACCTATGTCTGATGATTTTTCAAGCTTTTCTAGTTCAACCGGATTTATTTCTCGGTGGTCGAACAGATGCTCTACGCTATTCATTTCTTGTGATTTCGATTTCTCTCTAGCGATGTTTGTCCGATGTATATCCTATCAAATTCGAAGCATTTTATTTTACAGACACAATTAGATAAAGAATCTTTAGGGATTTGGTCTTTTATATGGACAAGATTGTTTCTTAGTGTGTCTGATGTTTTGAAGAAAACTCTAATGTCGAGCTTATTGAGCACTCTTCTGATATCATTTGACGTCTCTGCTTTACATGGAATGACAACTGTTGAGGTCCATGTTTTCAGAATGCGTTTTCGGGCATACTTAATGTCAGTGTTAATTTTGTTTATGAAGTTGCTTGGGTAGTTGTTTTGCTTGAGATTCTCAGTAATGTTTGATATTTCTTCTTCTTTTTCTTTCTCATCCATTAACATCAGTGAGTGTGCTGGTTTAAGAAGACTTGAAACAACTGAAATCTTCGATGAAGCTATTAGCAGCAGCATTAAATAGCGAAACGTCAGTAAGGGCAACAATATCGTTTTACTATTCATTCATTGGGAAATACAAAAACCTTTATTATTATGTATTGAGAATAATTTTAGAAATGTAATATGTTTAAGCAAAGGGAAGGTTTAAATAGGATACATAAAACAAACTCGGGATGTATCGGCGTTATTTATGATGGGGACAATAGAAAACCACATCTTTGAACTGAATCGGGGGACTTTCAGTATGATTCACCAGAGAAATATGTCTTTGATCACTCTCTGTCTGATATCCAGGTGCAGATCACCTCTCTTTGTCTTGAGTTATGTAATATTTAAAACAGTTGGTGTTCCCTTTATGAATGTAGATAAAGCAATAAGAAGACGTAATTTGTCTGAATCGTGTGTGTAATGTGCACATTTGCGCAACACATTTCAAACAATCTGATCCATCACACACACGGACTTGTCATAGGAATATTTATGAAATTAATAAAGAGGTGAGAGGTGAGAAAATGCACTTAGGTCAAGTTAAAATGAGGACAAATTGAAGGTCAAAATAACTATGAAGATGAATGACTAAACCAAATAGCAGAGGTAATAGTACATCTAATCTGGCTGCTATCAAAACAAAATTCACCAAGGAAGGTTTAATGTGATGAGGAATTGTTTTGTACGCATAAATGTGGTGTGAACTTCCTAACTGCCAGCTAGGGCTAGCTTCCACAAACTTTAGGATACGCCCTCCCCCAAACACCTTTTATAGATAGGTTTAAAAGATGTGTTAACGTCAATTTAATGTCCTGTCTCCTCTGCAATATGTTTCGCAATAGGGGAGCTAGGTCTTCGTCTCTTCTTACCATTAATGGGTTCTGAAGATTCCATTTGTTTCTGGAGCCATTTAGGAATATGCTGTGAAACCAGCCAGCCCTTACTTGCAGAGATCGATGAGTCCTCCCTATGTATGTGTGTGTGTCCACACGTAAATTCAATTGGCAAATACAGTGTGATGTGACATCATGTTTCGCATGTTCGAAGGGCTTAGATGGATGGATATATTGGCTTCACATTCTCAATTATTATGACATTAGTTGCATAAAAAGTCTTTTAAACCACAGCAGCGTTCAGTCTTTGTCTAGTTATCAAGCTGCTTTGACGCCCCATATATGTAATATTATGTCTTCTGCAGTTGATTCACTAGATACGAATATGCCATTCGAAAGTCTTGTCACCCAGACACACGCCTTACTTTCAACGTCCATTGAAGATCGAGTCTACGCAATTGTAATTGTCACAATCAATCAATCAATACACATGAAAGCCCAGTGTAGACAAAGTTCTCCTCTTCATTCAATTTCAAATTCATCGGTAGATTTTAAGTCTACACAAAAAGAAGGTTTACATGACAAGAAGCTTTCCAGAATCTCCAATTTCTCATGACAAAGTTGTAATACAGTGTCTGCATATCAATCTCTCTGTACTAAATTAAATCTTTCACAGTTATCATTTCATGTTCATCAGTCTAGACTCGTGGAAGAATTAAGTCCTGAGTGTAGTGAAACGAAAACTACCTTTTATATTTTCGCTAGTAATTGGACAACAGATTCAGATTTCTGCCAATTCACGACATAGCGCAACCACTAGCCAATGTCTTTGGCGAGTATTTGTCCTCACACCCAACCGGCTGTACCCTAATGGTCACCACTTCCCACTAGAACCTACCCAGGTAACTACCTACCTACCTGAATGTGACCAGTCACTAGAGAGAGATCGTTCAGATTGTTAGTCAGAGAGTGAGAGTATTCAAGTCAAGAAAAGATTGATTTGTAGTTACTTGGGGATGGGTTGTGTTTTATGTTCTCACTGAAGGCACTCCGAAAACAATCAGTATACGTCATTCAGACACACAACACGCGTTTATAGACAGACAATCACACAATGGTATTTGTATTACAAAACACACCGTAGTTTGCTTCTGATTATAAACACAGACTGAGGGTTTTACACCGAACGCGGTGTTATCCTACGAGCGGCTGACTGTTCTGATGAAAAAAAATGATGATAATAATGGCACCTGTGTGTCGATGGCATAGCGATTAGGACGCTCGCCGGCCATGCACATGGTTCGGGGTTCGATCCCCGGCCGACGCATTCCTTTACCTCGCTAAGCTAGAAATAATGCTGGTGAAGAGGAAAGGTTGGGCGTGAGGCTAGCTAGCCATCCTGTAAAAGTAATCCCTACTGCTACAGAAACTTCAAGCCACAAGCTTGAAGCCCGATGTTCCACTGGGCACTGGGGAACGTGAAGGATAAAAAACACCTCTTACGCACTACTCCTCGAATAAAGCACAGAGTCACAAAGATACACTCTGTAGGGAATAGCACTAGCTATAATAACTGCCCATACTGTGGTAGATGCCGCTGTTGTTCTATATCATAATATAGTCTCTAGTTTAGAAAGAAGAGCTAAATACGTTAGGCGTGCCTTCCTTGATTACACATCTGCATTTGACTCTCTTGCTAAGTAAGCTTGCTGCAACACAGGCTGATAGCTGGACAAATAAGTGGTTGTATTCCTACTTTTCTGATAGGAAGCAGTACACTGTCTACAATGGAAAGTCCTTCAC